TTCAAAAGATAGAGGAAAGCTATATCATTGATTTTTTAGATCGACTCGTGAGCCCCCTAATAATAACGTATTATTTTATTTAGTAGTGCATACCTTTAGATACTCATCATTTCATACCTCATAAATAGCATTGCAGGTCTCCGGAATCATTTTACTTAGCGATTGAGGTGAGATGATACTAGAAAATTTCAAATCTTCATAGTTCCTGCCAGTAGCTAGGTACCGAAGGGTAACAGATAGTCTTTCATGAGGTGATATGGCAGACCTCATGCACGTGTCTTGTTTCTGGATCAGTGGCGTTACTAAATTTAAAAGTAATACATAGCTATCCTCATCCATGCGGAGATAATTTCGATAATCATCCGGTTCTAAACGAAGTTCTTCCAGTAGATTTACGTGTGAGAATCGATCACGCTGCAACAACCATTTCTTTACCCATTTACTTCGTGGCCTGCGTTTATTCATTAATCGGTTTTGTTATTTCTTGATTATACACACGCACGCCACTGCTAATAAATTTAAATCAATATCACACTCACTGTCGCCATGTTTATTAGCGAGCTGGACAGTAAATGTTCTTTACGTGTGTAGGCAATTCGATTAAAACGTATATGTACGCGCGTACTTGTACGCGCATACATATCTCAAAGAATGCTCGTGTGTCTGTAGGCGCCTTAACGCTACGCTTACGGGCATTGCGCGTCATAGGTCTCCTCCAAGATACCGCCTAGCGGAGTGCGTACCAGACTGGCCCGCCTTACTTCGACCTCCCATCCAAACCACGTCAAACTTCGTGCATCCAGAACTGGATGATACGAGCACTCCTTTGTCTTTAGGGTATCGAGATTGTGGAACAATCTACATGACGAGAGTTTTACCAGTTCTCCTAACCTTAAGCAGTTCAAAAGTTTCTTTAACACATTGGCTGCCACGTCGGACGTATATGAGCGACAGTAGTAAGTTGCTTAAGGGCCGCGTCGGACATATGGGGCCGACGTTATAGACTTTACGCCCGACCGCATCAACCGTATATTGCCGACGGTAAATAGAAATTTACAGTATATCGTTTTGGGTTGGCCTCCTATGAAGTCTAGGTAAATCTCAGCAGGCGATATACGAAGATCAGACTTTCAAAAACAGTATTTCTATTTAACAAATGTGGAAACTAGAAAGTCTAATTAATAATATATTTTAGATGCTAACTATTGCTCCCTTGTTGTCAAGAGGCTCGTAAAAACCTGGTTATGCGTTTTCTTTGTTTTATTTGAACCTAACGATTTTTGAAAGTATTTCGAATAAAAAAAGCAGAAATGAGTTATACTTAATCAGCTTTATCCACAAAAAACTAAAGAACTTAACAAATTAAAAGCTCAAGTACAAAATATATTCGGTAACACTCTTTTTTTATTGGAAAGAAATTTTTACAAACCTAATGAGATTATGGGAATATAAGGTAGAAAAACGAGTAACCAGTTGCATAAAAAGTATGCTTACACATTTTACTGATATTTTCATAAAATTTTGTTTGGCCCCCCATTATTTTTTGCAAAGTAAAGCGCATGCCAGTCAATGTGTTAATGGCAGCCTTAGTACTTAAGCTAACGGCTGCGCGGCTGCTTTTGGTTGTGTTGCAGAAGTGTCACGTGGCTTTGTAGTGTAAGTATCCCCATATCGGCCGTATATTCTCCATTTCGTTCAACCATTTGATGTAACACCCTGCGTTCCACACGGTAGTTATTTGGGACCACTTTTTTTCATAATATATTTAACACTCCTGCCGTCACTTGTATGGCTAGCGACAGACCACGCATCGAAATATTTCAGCTGGTGTGTATGGCTTGCTATACATACACGTTGCTGCTACTTCTTAAAGAGAGTCGTTCCTAATCGCGCAGAAGCAACAAAGTTTGTTGTCAGTTTTGGCCATGACCGTTTGAAGTAAAAATAGTAAACTGACACGTTTTTTTATTATGGTTTTTATTTGAAAATAAGATACAAGAAACGACGAATTCTAACAATAAAGATTAGATGAAAACGTGAAATAAATAGATATATCAAACAAGATGAAAATAAAATTGCAAAAAAATAGAAAATGTTTTTTGAAATCCTAATGTTTCTCGTTGAAATATGTGCTGCACATATGAGGATTTCCTTCACACTTATCGCAACTAAGAGAAATGTAACAATATGCGGTCAACTAAGAACCTTAATAAAATAGAATACAAATATAAATTGGATAATACTGAATTGCAACAGGTAAAGATTTAGGTGTCTATATCGATGAGAAGCTTTAAATTGCCATATCGAGAAAACTATAAATGAAGCCAATAAAATGAGTGGCTTCATAAAAAGAACCGGTAAAACTAAAACAAAAATCCAAGAACCCTGACTTCCTTGTATTACTTCTATGTACTCAGTAAGCTTTCTTTCAGCGCTGTTATATGGAATCTACCCCACTAGTTCGTATCGAATTGAAATAATCCAACATAAGTTTTTACGTATACTTGCTTGCACCCCTACCACTGATGGTAATTATGGTCTTTCGTGAAAAGATTTAAGAAGTTAACACTGTTTAATAGAAGAATAATAATAATATAATAACAATCTGCTTTCCCTAGTTCAGTTTAATGTTCCAGATACGAATTGTCATTATAACATGTTTAAGTTACCATACTGTCGTACTTTGGTATACATTCTCCATAAGTAAGAGCACAAAGATCCTACAATCAATTTCGTGAAGAGGACTTGTTTTGTGATAACATCACTATCTGTAAAGTAAAATCCAAGATTTTAGATCAATAATCACATTATATTGTAGTACACATTTCTGCCCCTAGAGGCGTACAGCGCAACTCATTACCAGTTCAGTGCCACGTGAGTTGTCGATCTGGCTTGTTTCGTTCCTCTGTAGCCAATATTTTTGCTAGAGCTGTTTCGTTTCTTACGATGGCAAGCATCAGTGAGCAGCGGGCAGCTGTGAAATTTTGCTTTCTAATTGGTAAAAATGCTGCTGGAACTGTTTTAATGTTGAAAATAGCTTACAAAGATAGTGCTATGGGAAAAACTCAGGTGTACGAGTGGTTTGTTCGATTTAAAAATGGCGACATGTCGATTGATGTCGAACGTCGCTCTGGACGTCCATCAACTGCCCGAATCGACGAAAATGTTGAAAATATTCGAGAGCTTGTGCTATTTGGAGGTGTTAAGACGATTGCGAAATAGTGTTTGGCAAAAAAGACCCGATTTGTGTCAGTCAGGAGACTGGTTCTTCCACCACGATAATGCACCTGCGACAGTTCCTGGCTAAAAATGGCTTGGTTCCGCTGCCTCACACACCTGGCCTGACCTGGCTCCGTGCGACTTTTTCTGATTTCCCCGGATGAAAAGGGGCATGAAAGGACGCCGCTTTGACGACATTGAATAGGTTCAGAAAAAAACGATGGAGGAGCTATCAGACATTTCAAAGGAAGACTTCAAAAAATGTTTCGAGCAGTGGAAGCACCGGTGGGACAAGTGTATTAGTTGTAGTGGACAGTATTTTGAAGGAGATAAGGTTACTTTGTGAAAAAGTTGAAAATAAATAGCTTTTAAAAAAATTCTGTTTTTTTTTGGGTACCTCCTCGTATTTCATTATTTTTTACACATTACTCATATTTTATTGCAGCATAATGAAGGTCTTAAGATGGCTTTCTAAGGAGGTTTAGATTATAGGCTCTCGTTTCTTTTCATAAAGTTTCAGATACTAAAACTCCACCCTATCTTCACGCCCAAATTTATTTCCTCTCACACATTCCCGGGCTAAAAAGAGGCTTGATAGCTCTTTCTTCTCATAAACTGCTTTATTTTAAGGAGGCTTTGAGTATATGATATAGAAGCTCTATAATCCAATTTCAATTCAACATTTAAGAGTTTAAGCTGCGGAAAGTTTAAAATTGTGGTCAGTGATCATATGTTGAATAAGAAATACTTCTTTTCGGAATCTTGTCTCCATGTTCAGCGATTTGTGCCCCTTCGACATATGTCGTCAGTTTGATCGCGTTAAATGTGGTTGGGGCTGCTTTGGTCTGGACATGAACCATATTTGGGGGCACAGTGGGGGAATTGAGATGGTACAGGAGGATCGTATAGCATTTTCTTGGTGTCTGCTGATGGATGGGCTGTGTGAGGATGGAACTTTTCACACAAGGTTACTGCTATGAAAATCGATTCAGCGACGGCGGAGGAATGTTAGGGGTTGCAGGGGGAGTGGGAAGGTATATCTCAATTTTGTTACGTTGGCATATTTATACGCCTCCACATACATACTCGTAGCTAACTTTTCTCCCAGAAGGGCTAACTTGTGCAGAACCTAATGATTTACGAACTGCCGACAGCGTTGCGTGGGAAGTACAGAGTCAACTTACTTGACGCCATTTTTAACTTAATCTGTACAGTTGGGAAATAAAGGATATTATTATTATTTTCCTCGTTACTGAATTTTACAAATAAAAATGTGGCTCATAGAATAAAGGCGAATTTTTAATAGCTCCATGAACAATGCAACCGTTTATGCGACATACTGTTTTTTCATTAGTATCATTGAAGTGCAAACACTGAAAACAACTGAGATGTAATAAAATGGCCAAACAATCATTAAAATTATTTAATGCCATTATTAACTATTCACGCGTGACAAATAATTGTCTCCAATCGTCGAATCGCTACAAATAAACCCTTACAAATTAAAACGTAAAAAAAACGTGCAAGGGAAAATGAACACGAATATGTTAACATAAATATACCACTTTACAATCCAATAATAACAAATAGTCGCAATTACATTTTTCATAAACTAAAACATCAAATATTTTTTTCATTTGCTCTATTCGACGTGGTAATATATCCATAAAATTATATCAACACATTTAATTACAGTTCTACTTCTGCCACTTAAATATGAGAATGATCCGAGTATAAGCTAAGCAGTTTACTATGTAGTTGAACATACGAGTTTGTTTCAGGTCCTATTTTTGGATGCAGGCATGCCCAAATTATTCTATACTTTTGCCTGATGACTATCACGTACTGTACAAGAACCGTCCTGTCAGTTGGAATAGTAGCCATGACTAACAATAATACTTCAACTAACAGTGATGTGCCGGTGAGTACCACGACATATTTTATTTAATCGCAAGGGTATTATGTAAAAAGCGTCAAAAAACCGACAAAATGTCATCTTGCACACTAGGTAGTTTTTAGTGTGCAAATAGGTCATTCCACGTTTGCTCGCTATGATCGCTGTGTGCGTCATCAAAATCATCCATCTATGGAGGAATGACTCGACGAAACACTCGAGCATGCATTGTTGGTTGCAGAAAGCCAAGTAGCGTTTATAACTCACAAGATGTGAAATAAAAAAGTTGGTGTATTGGTCTGCCTGTGTATAAAATCAGTGATATTTACTATGTGAGAAAATTGTTACTGAATATGCTGCCAATGAAGTATACTATTAGCTGTTAATTACTTCACCAACCAGGGATTTTCGTTTCTTATCTCTCTTATTTTTGAAATTCAGCAAATTTGCATATTATGCAACTTCCAGAATGAATAAGAAAAAGTGGATGCGCAACTAATTTCTAGCTTTGAATACATCTCAAGTGTATTTGTGTGTATAATAATTATACAGATTATTAGCACACAAATCCTCACCTACGCACTGCCGTTTCCTTCCAGCTATAGTATACAACTTACAGCTTACACTACCAATAATACCATCTCTGAAGTAGATGTTACGCCACATCAGAGCCAAACATTGTTAGCTGGAGCATCATGACGTTTAGGCAACACGAGCAGCTACAAAACGAGTTCACAAATGTGTACAACAGCTAGTGTGCTAAGTTGATATCTTGTAGAAAAACCTACGTTATGTCACAAAAAAACCTATAAAATGTACAAAACAACGACAAAATGTCACTTTTCAAGATACGTAATATCCGTGCCGTTCTATAAAATGTATCACAGCTAAATTTCGGATATACACCAAGAACCAAATGTGTATAGAGACATATCTGAGAAAGAGATAGACGCCGGCTGGATAGCGAAGCTCATCACCGCCTTGCCTAGCACTGTGTGTAATGGAGGAGGAGCAGTTTTATCAGAAGCAAAAACGTAGAGTGCCATTATAGTATTGAAAATCAATTGCCAGAATCGGTCACTGCGAAAGTAAAAACAGCTGTTGAAATTGTACCCCAGTTCTCATTGTCAGTCAAATCCCAACTGTGGCCGCTAGATGCCGCCGAATCTGGTGCTGTAATAGGATACGGTCTATTCGCCTTTTAACAAACTAGTAACATAACTTTAGTTCGTCTGACCACACATGGCCAACCATGTACGGTTGTTTCGTGCTATTTGGCAACTCCCCAGCATGGTGTAGGCTTGGTCTCGGTGGACAACGAACGAAAGCTGAGCAACTCTATTCAGAAACAAAATAGCTGTCCATGGTTCGCCGTCTGGGGTTGGACAAACGAAAGCTGGATTACTAGTTTCTTCTATTTGTTTCAGACGTATCAGTGGAATAACCAAAGCGTGGTGCTTTCGGCGTTCTATTGGGGCTACGTAGTGTTACAGATTCCGGCCGCAATGATGGGAAAGAGAGTAGGTCCAAAATGGCTGCTGGTCGCCATGGCAACCATAGATTCGATCAGCTGCGTTCTGGTGCCTGTCAGCGCCGAATATTTCGGTGCGAGTGGGGTGATAGTGTGCAGGGTGGCTCAGGGGTTAGCCCAAGGGGGCATTTCGCCTATGCTGCACATGCTGCTGGGCCATTGGGCTCCGCCCAGCGAACGATCCGTCATGGGATCATTCGCATATTCAGGTAATTTGTTAGCGACAGTTCTTTCAATTACATATTTACGCAAAATGGTGAAACGCTCATTCCAGGTTCAGTATTCGGGAACATCATAGCCCTGCCTATAACTGGGCTGATCTGTTCGAGCTGGTTTGGTTGGCCGGCGGCATTTTTTACATTCGGAGCCCTCGGCCTGCTCTGGGTGATCGCCTGGATGTTTTTGGGGGCAGACAGACCAGGCCTACACAGGGGGATCACAAGCTGCGAAAAGAAGTACATTGAATCTAGTCTCGGACATACTGAACATCAGGTTAGCCTTACATTCCTAGTATGTATTGTAGAGAATAAAATATTGCTTCGCGCTTTACTACCTATATTTTTGTTTACTACTGGGTACTTTCGGTAGTCTTCTATCCGCTTAGTGGACGTACGAGGGCGGTTCAATAAGTACCCGTGTTGGAAATGAAACCAATTTAAAAAAAAATATATATGAATTTTTCAACATAGTCTCCTTTTATAAAGATACACGTTTCCCAACGTTCCTGCCATTTTTTTAACCCTCCCAAAAAATAGGATTTGTCGAGATCTCCAAAATACGCCTATGTCTCGGCAATGACTTCCTCGTTTGAGCTAATTTTTTCCCGCGAGCCATTTCTTTATGTTAAGAAACAAGAAAAAGTCGCAGGGGACCAGATCGGGTGAATACGGGGATGCGGCAGCAACTCCGGATTAATGTGCTGGTACTTTATCGTGGTGAAACAGCACTTTCTTTTCGCCAAATGTGGCCGTGTCTCCTTCAATTTTTTGTCGAAGCGGACCAGAAATTTCCTGTAGTATTGTCCAGTGATCGTTCTTCCTTTTTCTGAAGAATCCATGCACGAGGATGACGCCGTTCGCATCCCAAAAAATCGTCGCCATGACCTTTCCGGCCGATGGGACCGTCTTCGCCTTCTTTGGAGCAGATTCACCGGGAGAAATCCATTGTTTTGATTGTTACTTAGTTTCTGGTGTGTAATATTTAATTCAGGTTTCATCATTTCGTTTGGATTTGCTCCAAACACTGCTTCGAAGTTAATAGCCGCATCCGCTTGTTATACACCGTGCGCAATAGCGGCACCCATCGGGCCGTCAATTTTTTCATCTCTAACTTGTAAAATATTCTGTTCCATTCTGATGACACGCGTACGGCCTCTGCTATTCCGCGCATTTTCGTTCGTCGATCAGCGAGAATCATGTCGTGGACTTTTTGAATTATTTCTTCGGTAACCACGTCTGCCGGGCGTCCTGGTCGCTGCTCAGCAAAAACGGATGTTCGCCTACGTTTAAATTCGTTGAACTAATATCTAACTGTCACAGTTGGCGATGTGTCCCCATAAACAGCATCCAACTTTGCATTTTTTCTAATCCAAAAACACAAAGCGAATTACTGAACGATACTGCTCTTTTTCCATATTTGCGAAAATCACGAAATACGTGTTACTCGAATGCTGCCAAATTCAAACTAACCTATCTATCAGTCTGAAATTTGTTGTGCCGTCGTTTGATAGGTGGCAGCACACTATGATAACACCAACTTTTCTCAGGAACGTCATCTATCGTAAAGACGAATACTTATTGAACAAGCCTCGTATAATCATATTATAGCCTTAACGGACAGCCCAACCGTCCATCACTACTTTTCAAAACCCCTAAATTGCGAACGTTATTACAATGAAAATGTATTTTTTGTATAAAAATGCATATTTGCAGGCATACAGGAAAACTCCTTGGACGCGAATCTTACGATCGATGCCCTTCTGGGCGGTGACAGTTTCGTTTGTAGGAGCCAATTGGGGAAGTTCCGTTTTGAGCACGCAGACTCCCACGTATTTGTACAAGATTCTCAATTATGACATCAAATCTGTAAGTGCATTTCCACCAATTATACGCAGTACCATACATTCTTTTTTTGAGAATCGTAAAAATGATAAAGGACCAACTGTTTTCAGAATAGTCTACTGTCAGCGGCGCCATACGCTGCCATGCTCGTTGGATCCTTCCTATTTAGCATTATTTGCGATTGGTTGATAAATCGAGAAATTGTTTCAAGAGTAGCTGCAAGAAAGATATTCAGTACTATTGGTAAGTAAGAAGTGGCGTGTACGTAAAGAAATAATAGAAGCATTTGAAACTGCGTACACAGTTTGCAATAATCGTAAGGCACACTCTAACGACCAGTTGCAAAAATTGTGCGTGAAGATCCAGAATCTAACACCGGAGGTCCAACGGTAGCTCATTTTCGATGTTCGTCCTGCTCAAAATAACGTTTTTCACTGACATCCAGTGGTGCAATTTTGCACTTTATTGAGTCTTTGCAATGCCATCAGTAGGTAATATCAAGAAAAGATGATTACTTGTCCTTTCTTTGACAACTTCTTGATTGATATACCTACCCAATTTATTATAATTGTTTGCTTCCTCTTTTACCTAACTATTGTGACATGATACTTCGTCTTGCACAGTAACATTTCTTAACGAACAAGTAGTGTACTCAGTGCAAAACTTGAGCAATAATTTTTCTAGCCGAACATAGGATGACAGAGGAAAATGCACTAACGTGTCCGGCAGAACATTTTAATAAGAACAAGCGCATAAATAGTGCAAACGTGCATACCAGAGGCAAAAGACTATAACTGAATTCAGCGTCTCAAATGAGCCGTATTATTTTAAAAAATTTCGACATGATCTTTTCTTATTTTAGGAACTATATTACCAGCAATAGGCTTAACTGCGATCGGCTTCATTCCAAAAGAAGAAGCAACTCTATCTGTGATAATACTGATCCTGAATGGCGCGTTGCAATCGGGCGGTTTTTGTGGCTACCAAGTGAACCACATGGACCTGTCGCCAAACCATTGCGGTGTTTTGATGGGCATCACGAACGGCACCACCAGCGTTTTCTCCATCATTTCGCCGCTAATCGTTCAGTTCATCGTCACTGATCAGGTAATGCAGACGTACACTGGGTGTTTCAAATTCTACCGTTGGAATCACGGAAAGGGTACGAGATACCAAGCCGATTAAATAAGTGCAAAGTGCACATTCTGATATAGGTACTGTATATATTAATCTTGTAAAACTATTATTAAAAAAACTAGTGTTTCCTAAGTAAGCCTTGAAACCAGCGAACGTCATTCGTTTAATAAAATCACCATCCAAGCATTCTTGCACCATCGTCAAAGCCTTAGCGTACTTAAAAATGCTTCTAACGGTTCATTAAAATTACATCGTTGCCGCTGTGTATTGTCATTAAACAATATGAAAAAGATAGCATTCCCTTGGTCTTCATTCAAATATAACTGTTGAGACCAAGTACAGGAAGTAACCTTTTTAGACATTTGAAGCTTAATTCAAAACATATAGTTTTGGAATACCTCCTCAAATTAAATCATGAAAAAAAGGAAACTGTTTCGTTTATCTTCGGAAATACATGGGTGCTAGCGGCCCAAAGCACGAGTTTAATGAAAATAAGAATGTGTAAAAAAACTAGAATAACTCATATTACTATTACTCTTTGTTACTGTATTACGATGCAAGAAATATAGAAAATATGGTATAACAAATTCTTGTAAATGCGGGAGACGTACTTGTATCTATTAGGTATTCTTCCCCAATTGATTGACATTTTAGCGAACTAATGTTAAAAAGTTGAGATTTGACATAGTTATTATAGATGAGTATTTTTTACACAATAATTGACTAACTTAATCATCAGACCGTAAGACTAGAGCACTTGTCATTAGGAATCATGTGAGGCTCTATTCGATGGGTTCCCATTTCCACTTCCTGGCTTCATCATCAGATTATCTCCATGTCATAACAATATTGCATTGTCAAATTGAACGTCCGCCATATTGGATCTGAATGACGTTATTTTGCTTATTGTATTTCTTTCATCGATCCCTTTCATTTGATATCCACAATATGGTGGCTTCTATGGAAACTAAAATTCGATATTTTGCGGCGACCGCCATATTGGCTATAGAATGACGTCACGTTGCTTACTGTATCTCTCTCATCAAGCCCTTTCATTCGATAACCATATCATAGAAATTATAAACGCACCTTGCGGCGATCGACATACTTGTTTTAAAATGACATTTTGCTTATTGTGTTTCTCTCAAGCCCTTTCATCTGATGCCCATATTAGAGGGGTGACTAATGGAAATTATAAATCGCCAAATTAAGGCCTCCGAGATATTGGATTTAGGATTTCATCAGTTTGCTTATTGTGTTTCTGTCATCAAGCTATTTCATTTAAAACCGTATCTTATACTACGGAAATGATAAATCGCCAATGTAGCATACGCAATATTATATGCAAAACTTCAGCTCGATTGGTTAAGGTTAATTAGTACCAAATTCAGTTTCAGGATTTGTCTCACACATGCATACGTTCGTATTAACGAACTAACATACTAACAGTTACTTGTACAAGGCTTGTAAAAAGTGCCATTGTTAATGCAATTTATATTGAAATCCCAGCTCAAATTAAGCCAGGAGAAAATGTGAAACGGGTCGAAAAAAGTGAGTCGCCAACATCTCTGGAAATACTATGGATTGCGAAGCTTGTCCCCATATAATCGACTTGGTATCTCCTATCGTTTCCGGGATCCTAATAGCGAACGACAGTCGAATTTGAAACACTTGGTATTGTAACCTGTGTCAAATCAAGTAGCAAGATAGCGTTTTAACTGCTGATACAATACAAATCGAAGTGCGTCAGACAGCAACTCAGCAGCGTGATAATGCACTGATTACCTGAAAGTGGCGCCAAACTTCGATTCATCATATTTGTACAAAATAACCATATAATCATATCTTTTTTAGAGTAACCAAACGATGTGGATGACAATCTTCATTACGACTGCGTGCGTCTACTTAGCAACGGACGTGTTCTATCTAATGTTCGCATCTGCGGATGTACAACCGTGGAACGACCTACAGAATACAAACCAAGGCAATGTTATCAGTGGTTCTATTTCCAACAGACCTACAAACAGCGAAACGCAATCAAACGTCTCTTCGACCACCGACAGTAGAGCAAATCTCACCGATGTCTAAAAGTCTTGATATTACAGATATGACATCGATTTACTCAACATTTCTAGCCAGTGGAACTACTGTGGTAGATGGCTAAACCTTCAGGTGTACACGACTATTCGCATGTTCACTATAAAATACGGCTGGCCGTCCACTGGATGCGCAATTGCGCACTCGTACGACTTTGTGGTCATGAATAATCAGACGACTTTCTCGTTCAAGTGGAAACGACTACATCTCGTCCATTAGACACGATTTCTGGTTAGTAAATTAAAAAGAAAATTCATTTATTTTGTGTAGTGTATCTAGAAATGTAAACCTTTTTTCTGACTAATAGTTTTGATATCAGTGATTTGAAATGGACTTTGACGATATATACATATTTTGAAAAACTAGTACCTGCTGAAACGCTAGAGACAAAATAGAGTGGAGTATCGTTGAAAAGACATAGATTAGGCGAGTCTCATCATTTATTTGAAGACTTACAACAGTAAAAACCTGATCTGGCTAACAGATATACAAACTGAATGAAAGTCGTTTGACAAAGACCCATTCGAATAGGATCAGTCGTTAATCGCATCAAATCGGCTCAAGTCGTGCGACCGAGGTGGTGTGCACTCGACGACAGTTCTAATATTTGTATTTAAAAAGATTATCCGGACGCATACGGAGGATTATGCACGACTAGTACATCGTACAACTACGCATCTAGTGAACGGTCTGTGTAGGACGATATACTATATAATAGTTAGATAATCTCGAGACACTAATGCAATATAGGAGCAATATTAATTAGATATGTTAAGGGATGCTAAACGATCTGTTAAGAAGTCACTTAGTACAAAGCACTTTCACTAGGATTTATAACGTATTTTTATAAAATAGCATTAGATTACTGCTTTTATGGCATAAAAGACTGACTTGCTAATAAAAATAAGAACGGAATATTTTATTTATTATCCTTTTCAATAACACAGTTATGGACAATTGTTCAACAAAACTATGCATGATGTATGCAAATGACTATCTAAAGGCTGGTTCAATGCTGGTCAAATCAACGGTCAAACTCGCTGAATATTTTTAAAGTATAGACTAGGTGCCAAGGTTCGATGAGCGCGAGCAGTTATATCGTTGCATGCGTCAATAGCCTCAGAAGAGCTGGAGTGAGAAATAAAATTATCCAGCGCTATTCACTAAAACTAATGTTTTAAAAGAATAGAGCTTTATTTAAACATTAGATAGTTATTTTACAAACAACGCTTGTAGATTTTTTTATATTTGCATCTTAAAAAATAGTTCTGAGATCATAATATCACATAAAAAGCAAAATAATTAGAATTTGTGAATCTAGATTGCCATTTCATATTTTCAGCACTATCACCTGAAAGTATTTCATTATCACAGTTACAATATTCAATTTCCGCAGAACGAATACGTATTACTAACACTCGTATAAACATGTGAAAACTATACAGTGTTTTGAAAAATAATGCATTTTTGCATAATCTGTATTACTTTCGTAAATACAAACAAGCTGTGAGGAGTTAATCAGTTACAAGCTCTGCTCACCTCATTTTGAACATGGAATGATAGGAGCAGAAAGGCATCCGACCTCCTCATAACTTGCCATAGAATAGAGTGATATTACAACAATTACACGTAGATTATTTCTGCAAGGCATGTACATAACACTTTATTGGTATTACAAATATAATCTGGTTCGTAGATTATCCTCATAACGATGAAGCTGCAGCAATATTTTCAAATTTCCCAATCAATATCAGAGCATTTTGCAGTCTTCGTCAGTGGGTTGAAACATATTTACATTAGTATCTCTTTTCTGACTTTCAGGTAAAAGCTTTGGTAAATACAGTAGAAAAGGCTGATGAGCTATCAATGAAATTGTCTGTGAATTTGGTCAGTACAGTGTTTTTAGAATTAAATTCACATTACGTCATACCTATTTTCAAGAATACTTGAAACGTCAAATCAGGGATCAGGATGACCTACGAAATTATTTTTGAGAGAGATACTTAAAATACAGTAACTTGCAGGTCCCACAGGTAAGAATCATATCCGCAATACCCCTAATATTCTGCTCAAGTCTTCAAAAACACAAGACGTATAAGACACACGTGGACAATTCAGTTGAAAACTAAAATATTGTTCTCTATAAGACTGAAGTATTTATACTATGTGTAACCTTACTAAGTTACAAAAAGTGCTAGGAAAATGAAAAACCAATTACTTGAACATTAATTTGACTCCAATATTGGGAAATATAAAATAATTTATCTTTTTAGGCTTACCATCCTGCGAGTTTCAATATTCTTACACGCAGTGGGTATTAGAGATAACCTTATAATCCATTGATTTCTTATGACTTAAATGTTAACGGTTACGTATCGGTATTAGCGATTGATAAAACTATTTTCTCTTTTAACATCCCCTAATTAAATAATACGTAAAATATTTTTTGGAGATGTGAACAAAAAAGGATTCATAATCCATTGCTTAGATTATGCATAAAATTCAGGTATATCCATCGATATACGTTTTTAGTCATATTGATATCTTACATAAAGGTTAATAACAGGAGAATAAATTACTTACCTATATATATAGCTCTTTATCGTGAATTTTTCTAGACTAAATCGTTAACGATTGGCACTAATAATTATAACTTTGTTGAAAAAAATTCCATTAACACCATAAATTCAGGAAGATCTACATTAGTGACAATAGTTTACGATTACTATATCACAGTTCTTTCACACATATTTTGAAAAATCCTTGGTCCGGAACAATCAAGTATATCACCTGAATAATTTATATCTGGTAAGAATATAAATATTATCACAACTCTTATCATTCAAGTTATCAGCAGTGAGTCAGCCCTGCTCCGCATGCACATGATTTTCTAGTTAAATGGAATCTTCTCACTACCTTGTAGTATTTGATTATGCAGTTGAAGTAAGAAGGGAAGATATTTCATATTTGATATTTTTTTTGGGGAAACACCCAAATATCTGACGAACTCTATATCAATTTTTCATTCATTTGTCGATTACAGAGAAAGTACCATTCACTAAAAAAATCATCGTCGCTGGCTCTTTTCTAAAGTAAATCGTGTAATAGACGTTCAACCGGCATTTTATAGCTGGCATGAAGACAAGCTAATTTAGACATAATTAAATAGATTAAATAGATTCAATATTCATTCTACCCGTTTTACCAATAACTTGCTTAAATATAACAAATGGTAAACATTTTCAATGTAACGCTTAGTCGTGGACATCCACAAGGAACAAATGAGTAGCAGTACAAAATACTTTTTTTTATGAAGCTAGGATCAAAATAAATGAATACCAAAATTTGTTAATGCTATTATCAGAACGAATCCGCTTCATTTTTCGAAGATAAAAGAAAAGCCAAGATAAAAAGTGATTTTTGACTTGACGCATGATGTAAATACAAAAGCCGTATTTATAGTGGATACTTTCGAATCTCAACATCAGTATTTTGGACAAATAAGTTTTTCAATTGAAGAATGAAGGCTTTCACACGGCTAATTCTAATGTAATTTAGGTTTTTCGGGCAGTTGAGCCGTGGTTGGGTTGCATTTGGTCCATAGCTTTCGGCTACATCTGCGGTAACCATCTTCAGTGGCGCTGTCGGCGAGAGCGAAGTGCTCGGCTTGGCGGGTCGATTGAAACCATCGAGACTAAAACTGATCGGTTAACTGGATGAGCGTGCGGTTTTATAGGCGATCGGAGGACTGAGTTGTCTGGTGGGGGTACACCGGGTCTCTTGAGTGACGTGGCTTTTGCGCTGTGTTTTTTAGAATTTGGAACCACGTTTTGTTCAAAGCAAGGCCTTCCTGTTCTCTATTGAAGTTATCATGGTGTTTATAGATTTCAATTGCTTCTCTGTACATTCGGGCTGAGTAGTGGGTGTATGTTGATAGGACTTCAGTTTGGTCGAATAGAACATTGTGCTCGTGCTCGGCGACAGCGCCACTGAAGATGGCTACCGCAGATGTAGCCGAAAGCTATGGACGAAATCCAACCCGACCACGGCTCAACAGTCCGAAAAACCTAAATTACACAAGTCTTTCAATGTTCAACACACTATTATCACACACTTTTAACAATCCTTGCATAAAATTCTTGACAATAATAAAACATATAACTTACAGCACATAATTGAGATCAAAACCAGTATATTAATACATTAAGACATGGTCTAAGTGGAATTTACAAAACTAATGTTTCCAAAATAACATATTCTCTGATTAGGCATATATATGCAATTACCATTTTATTTAACGTCTGAAACCTATCTTCAGATTGTCTCGCTGATAAATCTCCCTGTTTTGCTGGCCACCAAAATGAAAAAAACAATTTTGGATTGAAAGTTTATTAACGTCTCGTTTGCCCTTCTCAAAGTATTTCAACAAATCAAAACGTAGATAAATTTTCAATCCAAAATGTCTTTTCATTTGGAGGCCCGCAAAACATGCAAGATTTTCTATACGACATCTAATAATTTCGTATGAATTGAATCTCTTTATATGCAAGATTTTCATAATTTGAATTTCGAATTCAGCTTTGAAGTAATTCACATTAATATTTACCCTTGAATGAATGAATGAAACATGAAATTAGAGGCATACCAGCCACCATAAGGAGCCAGTGCATAGGCCACTTAGATGGGCCCTTCTGCACCTCTGCATTCCTTAGCTCAAACCTCGCCATTTTAGCGAAGTTGAGTATGGCCTTGAGTCCAAGCTCCTTACCGTCGTGGGGGACCAGAGTGATGGACCCCAGTATAGTCTGCCTGTAGTAGCGAAGAGCCTCACAGTCACACAGAACGTGCGCCGAGGTCTCTTCCTATACCCTGCAGCGCTCACACAAGGGATCCTCAGCCACCCCCCACGTGCAGGTGGCGCCTTAACGTATTATGGCCAGACAACAGTCCCACCAGCAACCTTAGGTTGGCTTTATCCAAAGATAAGCAGAAACGTCCATCCTTGGCGCTGGACTGTAAAATGAGTTCCGATGCCTGACCGAGATGTCTGGAAATGATTCTCCATTTCTGAGAGTGTTGACTTGCAATCCGCTTCTCCATTTTCCCTCTAACTCTTAGCGCGGGCACCCCTGAAGCTGGCTCAGAACCAACGAACTTGCTGGCTGATCCTGTCTTCGCCAGAGCGTCCGCCGTCTCATTGCAGTTTATCCCAACGTACTCTGGTACCCACACTAACGATACCGGATGCCTCCCTGCTAGACAGCCAGAGCCTCCCTGCATTGCAATACAGGGCTCGACGTAATCTTACAGGCACTTGTATCTTCATTGCAGCTTGGCTGTCGGAGATTATTGTTATATTTCTCCTAGGCCCACCTCCCTCCAAAATGAGGGATACACTAGCCAGAATCGCAACAATTTCCACCTGGAAAATAGTGATGTCTCTACCAAGAGGCAGAGAGCCTAGTTCTAGACCCCGAGACACCGGCGCCAGAGCGCTCTTCGATGACCGAGCCGTCCGTGTACCAGACTTGCCCACTCACTTCGGAGAGCTTCCCGCAACTTGCGCAACTGCATGCACTCTATGATTGATCGCGCTACTGTGGAACCGGAAAAGTGCCAAGGGATCAGACAGAGATCCTAATCTTGCTCTAGTGTCTTTGCATAGGATTCTGTGTCTTCTAGCCGCAGCAGGAATGTCCTTCATGGACTGACAGAAGTTCCTCCAGGATTCTCTAGAGGCTCTTCTAATCTCCTGTTTGTATTCCTGCAACGCCTTCTTGTAGTCTTCCCATTGGGGAGACCTTCTCCTGTGCTTAACTCTATCAAGAAGTTTTTGCACTGCGGTTTTCCTGTCCTGCAACTCCTTGGATCAGAATGTTGCCTTGCCCTTACCTTGAACTTTGCGTAACGGGCAGTGTTTCTCATACGAAGCCCTTAGAGACCCTACGGCTGCTCCTATATCAGAGCCCCGACAAAGGCTGTATGAGACCTCTCCATTATTTACCTTTAACGTTTTTAGATTTCTACGTCAATCTATCTGCGTTGTAAAATATTACAATATTTTCTAAACCAAAAAGGTATAAAAAGGGGTACAAATAAAAAATGGTGCAGGTGGAGGATGAAACGTACAATAAAAACGCATTCACAGTTTTTAACACCAAGCCTTTCATTTATCTTAAAAATACATTCTTCTTTTATCTTGTTTCTTCGTTCTTCTAGGTCATTTCTTTGTTTTTGCCTGCAAACCTAAACTATGAAATCAAGCTAAAACAACAAATGTGTTAATGAAGATAATCTAACATTTACACGTGTGATCTGCTAAGAAAAAAGATGCCGATACGCTCCATGGTTGGATGACTAAAAACAAAAAAAAATCAATCTCAAAATGTCCACGTTTCTGTGTGGCTTTGAACACATTTTATAGGTAAATACAAGTTAATTTTTAGTTTTTCATCTACATGTACTTGTTTGAGAAATAATTTGCTATTTGTGTACAAAGCCTGGTATTACTGTATTGTAGTAGAACAGAAACAGGCATTTTGATTAGCTTAGGCAAATATTATTTAATCCACTCCAGGTAAAACGCCATATTCTAAAAGCTGAACAGATTAATGCAGAAGAGTACTGAAAATGAATATAAATTTTACAGAAATCAATACGATATTTTACAATAATAAACGATTTGAAAAGAAATGATTTACGAAATCACTATTACAGATAACTTAGGAGATACCATAATTATACTGTCAGCATAAAACGTATCGCCATTTACATAAGGACATCATCTATAACCAGTCAATGAAAGAGTCGTCTAGATTACATTATTAAAATCTACGGTTACACATGATACATTCATGAACATTTATATGTGTGTGCATATAACATTGTAATGCTGTTAATGTCTGGACCTTTCCGATCTGTGCCCATCTTCCCTGCCTCTGTCTCTATCTCTATCTCTGTCCGGCTCTCCGCGCCTTCCCGACTCGCGCTCCCTCTCGCGGTATCTGTCCTCATAGTATCTGGATTTTCCGCCGCCCGGCGCTTCTCCGGCTGCCTCGGCCACATCCACCGGCGATTTGTTTCTCGATCGTGACCTGCCGAACACAATACCGAATCATCCCTCTGCTGCTGACGGATCACTCTGCTCCTGATCAGATACACAGTTGCTCATCGCCACCGTGTCGCTTTCAACTCACCGATCATGCATACGACCATCATCATTTACATTAATTCAAAATAAAGATCCAGCATTATTTAATAGGGTGAATTCACAATCTAAATTCATATCTGTTTGGTTCTTAACTGGCGTATCTAGCGATACATGCAGTTAACTTCCGAATAGCTAGAAAATGCAAAACTACGATGAAATTAATCCAATTGTCACTATAAAAAAATTGTTGCAACCAACTTATAGCTTTCGATGAACGTTATGGCTTCATTATAACAAAACCCAAGTGACCCGATAATATACAGTTAGCATAAATATTACAAAAATTGAGCATTATCCCCCCCCGCCTGGTAGTAACAGAAATACAGGAATGTAGGCTAAAAATCGATAACCACAAAACTAAGAGAGGATTGGTGCATTACACAAAATCGGTTACATCTCAGAATATTTTATATACATATTTCTATTTCACATACCTCTCAAATTTATGATAATAAGATTCTTATTGCACGTTTATCATAAAAAAACAATCGGACAATGCAAAAACCAATTAAGTTCTTTTTTTTTGCCGACATGCTTTTTTACTGTACTTACTGTGATAAAGGTAGCTGCTTAATCTGGGTAAACACCAAGTAAGTCATTACATTCCTTTGCCAAATATCACGTTGTTTATAATATATGTTCACACACACCACAGACTCAACCCTTCTCACCTTCTCATTTGTATGGCTGAGAGGATACTTTCAAGATAGTATAAAGATGGAAATACTCGTACATGCACAACACCTATCTTGCTATGTCAATTTTTTGTTGGAAAAATACTTTTTGATTCCTGGTAGTCAAATAAGCACGATGGTTATTCTAGAACCCATAGTAATTTATGGTTTAAATGTAAAACGTTAAATTCGACTTTTCCAAGTTCGCTTTTCCCGGGTTTCCCCTATGTACCTTAAAAATATTAAAACACCCAAAATGAAAACATGTGGTCTCTCAGTAAGTCTCAAGTGTAATTTTGGATAATAAGCAATGAAAAATATCATTAGGGTTTTTGTATTATTATTAAAACTTTGTGAAGGTTATTCGAAATGTCAATCTATCAGAACTCAAAATCCTAAAAAACCGCTTTAAAACTGGTTTGTTTTGTCAGTTTCAGTTTTTATTCCCTCGTGGAAAAATTCAAATTATAGGACTTAGGATGAGGTTTTTGCACTGGCCGATAGATTCGAAAATGCACTAATCTCTTTAGTTTCCATAGTTCTTGATAAAATTTCACTCTTAAACGATGCATTCACTCGATTCAGAATAAGTTTTCAGTAAAATCGCATTCGTAAGAGCAATCTGTTTCGTATCTTTTAAACATATAAAAATATAAGACTAAGTGGTAGAGTGCAATCAGGCAAAAGCTGAATTTGAATCGATTTTTCTGAAACCTTGTCCATATATCTTTCAACACCAAACAAACAAAAAAACCTCACAAACGATTTAATATCCATAATGTAGTAAAATAGTTGAGTAAATTTTCATTTCTTTTACTCAGTCTACTTATGTAGAGATAGTATCTAAGCGCCGTATCGTCAGTCGTTCCTACAATTGTAGGGCGCCTTTATAGCCTCCTTGATTGTCATACTCTCTTCTCTCCTTCAAAAATTTCTACACTACACCTGTTCTGTGTCAGCGTCAGCGCTCTCCTATTGTGAACATATGTTTTCTTTTTAAATTTGAGGAAATTTTAGGCTGATAAAACATGGTATAAATCAAAAGCATGCACAATTTGATGCAAACAGATATTTGTGACATAACCTCAAAATAGAGCGCTGACACGGAAAAGTAGAAAACTATGACAATCAAGGAGGCCATACAGGCATCCTACAATTGTAGGAACGACTGACGATACGGACCTAAGCAAAAACCTTTGTAGTTTGACACATTCCCATAGCATGCAATATATTATATCAAACCAAAAAACGTTTCAATAAAGGTTTTAATTTATAGGTTTTAGTGTAAAGCAAAACGCATTTACCACAGTTCATTCAAAGTATTGCATAGCTTCCAGCTTCAAAAATTAAAAATGATCCTTTATAGACAAAATGCGCCAACCAGGAATGTCTGTATATATATTTTTGGTGTAATAATTGAAACCTGGAAACTACACAATAACCCATTTGCACTCTACCAATAAAAATATAAATATATGTATTATAAATTTCCACTTACTTGTCAGCAATTTTACTGATACTGGCATCTGGACGAGCAGTTCTAACTATACTATATGTACAAAAGAAAAAGAGGGAAGATAGAATTTATGGTACATTATACAAGAAATATATTAATGGCGCAATTTAATATATAGTATGAATAACAGATACTATAATGAACAAGGATGTAAGATTTATTTTGAATTACAGCTTTTAGGATGAATTCACTAAAACAAAGTATATCAATTGCTTATTTCTGAAACCTTAAATACACACAAATTTTGTGATTAAAAACGGGAATGGAGTAAACATAACTTTAGCATCAATTTCAAAACAATATAACATAAACTTAAGTGCTGTAGTGATTAGTCATTATCAATTTAATCTCAAATTTGATCAGTCAGTGACCATCAAATACCAAACTTCATTTGATACTAGCTTAATCAGGAATACACCAAGTACTACTTTTTTCAAAAAGCCGAGTAACGGGTACTCGTTCGGATTCGAATAGCGGGTGTCCGGTACAATGATTAGTTCCGGGTTATTTTACCTAATGTTAGTGATATGACGACGATACGTGCCTCTCTTCTCAAAATTGATATACTTTTCCGAAAAATTAACGTACCACAAAAAAATATTTGTGTAGCTAAGACTATGTTTGGAGGCAAATGAAGTATATTTGTAATACATTTAAAAGGTATGTATACTTAACATGGCAAACCTACATGTTTACCAGAAGTAGGCAACGCGAGGCTCTAACCTATTCACATTTCAAATAATTACCTAATAGAATCGATGTCATGTCAAGGCCATCAGAAGCGTTTCATTTAAACTATGTAGGGAGTCTGAGCTGCCTTTGAGGAGGTTACAAAAGAAACGCAAATTAAAACTGCTGGAGTTCAGATTTACTAAATTATCATTACGTATTAGTGAAGATTTCCTTTGCAGACACTACATTTTGTTTAATTTCATTTGTGCTTTTTGTTGTTTTCCTAGTGTTCAAATGTAAAGGTGCGTTTACATATGAGCCCACACGCATTCGTTCGCGTGTGTGGAGTGCTTAAATTGAAATGCATCATACTTTTATCTTTTTTCCTGTGCTTTGCAAGACTAAATTTTCAATGCTACAATTGATTACTAGTTGTTACCATGCATAATTTTTTTCAATAATACTTCGTGTCTAAATTCCCATAGTACGGGTAATTTCTCAAACTCTGGCAAGAGTTTTAAAACTTTCCATCATTTACTGGACTAAATACAACTCTTCAATCATGTGCGCCGCGTTGTCTTTTCCGTCCACACTGAACAGTCGCGAACCCATTAATTCTTTGAGCAACGTCTTGAGACCGACACTAGGCGGATCGCGCTCGCCGTTGCTCGCGTACATGAAGATACAGTGTGAGCCTGCATGCATATCCTTTTACACTTGATCATTCGCGGTGGATCAGTGCGTGCGTGCTCAGATCTACGCACATTAAGATAAAAGAGCAAAAGCTCTATCTTACCTGCAGGACTTGCCATATTTTTTTATGACGAGCTTAATAAACCCTGTGCATAAAAAATAAGCTAAGCAAATATTGTGAATACAATCTTTTCATGGTGCGTTAATCTCCAAGGAGAACGTACCAAGACTTGGGGAAAGGCATTATGAGATCAAACTTTGCACATCGCATCTAAAATTCTTTCGTTTACACATGTTGTGTAACTTGCATTCAGACCGAGTAATTTAATACTCAGCATAACCAGGTACTCGTAAAATGGGCCGAGTACCGGGAACAAAACGAGTACTTGGTGCATCCCCAAGGTTAACACTGCTATAAGGCCAGCAGCACTTTATTGATTCTACTGGTGCTCAACTGAGTGGATTTGTACTTTTTAAACATCTAACAATAATCATGGAAGGACTATAAGAGTACAAACCACCACAAGCATTCACTATTTCGATACAAAAACCACCATATACTTTTCCATATACTTCCTCATCATATAATCAACAAATAATTTATCAATGAATGTTTTGATGTCCTAAGTTTTGTGTTGTCTTCCAATGTTTTCATTCTCAAGGCGTCACTCAATGCAGAAAAGTGCATGGTGGTTTATATTGGGAAGACATCCTCGTGTAAACTACAGTATAAGGCAGGTAGAAACTGAAAATGTACAGTACCAGAAAGACCTAGGAGTTATAAAAGCACATAGTTTAAAATGGGAAGCTCACATTACCAGCAAAATAAGTCAACTCATTGAAATATTTGATTGGAAAAGCTGTTAAAAAGCATTTCCTGCTATGATAGAAAAGCTATTTTTATTTTTACGAAAACAATGGAACAATGGATAAAACACAAGAGTAATTATTTATAGAAAATTGAAGGAAAAATTCGACAAATTGCGCGTTTCAAAAAAAAAACTGTAGCGTACTATTTTTATTTGGAAAAATAATACCACTAGTCCCCTGCATCTCCGCCACTGGTGCACGTCAATTTTAAATAAACACTTTTGAATGTGAAGGTTATTCCAGTTGACGGTTTTGGAAATATTAAAAAAATTGTTTTTTATTTTTAAACTTCAACACCCCATATCCTTTTAATGAAGCCCAAATCCTGAACATGCACAGAGAATATGAAGTCCCTATTTTGTCAAAGACATTGAACTACTGGAAAGACTGCAACGTAGAATAACGAGATTCGACATTTGCCATATGAACAAAGCCTAAGGGCTATAAATTTGACAACACTCACTGAGCAAAGATTATGTATCATGTATCCTTCAAATATGCAATATGAATCAGAATCTTCATCTCTGAGGGAATACCAAAAAAACTAGAAAAAGAGAGAACATCTAAGTTGATAAGGATAAATATTATTTCAAATTGTGTGGTTTACAAAATAAGCTGGACAAGAAATTAGAAGACAAGGCAGTACGTTTCGTGCATTATTCAGCATGGAAAAATGACTACTAAGAGTATCATCAGACTTCCGCGTACAGTTAAAGTGCTAATAATAATAATCAAATGTCAATCCTGTTACTAATACATTTTCTTAATCTCTGCAGATCAAATAACATAGTAGGTATATACGGCACCAACAGAACACAATTGCAACAAATGAAAAAATGAGCAAACGAAAGCAACACGTTTACTTACGACTCATCCGGCTCTCTATCCCTGTAGTCTCTCTCCCTTTCCCTTTCTGTCCTCTCCCTGCTCCTCGACCTGTCCCTCTCTCTCTCCCTGTATGAATCAGCATAATATCTATCTCTCTCCCTTTCGCGATCCCTGTCTCTGTCGCGCTCCCTCTCTCTGCTCCTGTCTCTGTATCTGGATGATGATCTCTCACGTCGAGCGCGTCTGTAATAGCTGGCAATTATTAAAAATCGATTTGATCCTTTCTAATAAGATAAACTATATAAAAGCCTTCAACATTAATAAGAAGCACTGTATAGTTATCAAATGATTTTTTTTTACATAGAGTTCAAGCATCATTCCAGAGATTATAAGATATGGGAAAAAAACAAAACCTCATGGCAAGGGCGTTACAGGTTTCAGCAGTTACTTCTAAACAATGTTTTAATAGTTTACTTGCACGATTAATCAAAAGTATAGTAATGAGAAGGATAAAAAGCTGTGACGAAACAAATTGAAAGAGAAGAAATTGTATAAAATGGTGATGTATTTACCTATGAGATCTATCCCTGGATCTGGACCTGTCCCTCCTGCTACTGCTGTAGCTTTTATCCTCTACGCCTCTGAGCGTGTCCTGCAAAGAGGAGATGAGAATCTTGCATCGATCGTCGTTGGCGACTTTCGATTGTTTGATCAGCGAAATAGCAGTGACCAGGGTTTCGATGGCGCTCGCGTATTCGCCAGCAGCCGCGTCCGATACAGCTCGACCTACATATCGTATTTATAAAGTTAAGGACACTTTCAATTATAAGACAATTTGCAGATGCAAAAAATTAAATACGTCTTACCGATAGCCGATGATGAGACAGTTCTGTTTCTGGACATGATGTCTTCGAACTCCTGCTCTGAGAGTTGCGGCACGTCCGGCCTGTGGTGATGATGATCGCCGGGAGTTGGCGGGGGTCCACTGGGGGGACCGTACGGAGCCTGCGGCATCGACACTGGAGGGCCGTATCCATGCGGCGGGCCCCCGTGTGGCGGCACTCCTGGACCGCCCATTGGGGGTCCGCCCATCGGAGGACCTTGTGGAGGCCCTTGAGGTGGCATCACTACACAAAAGACAACGTTTTTGATTTCATAATCCATAACAATTATACTGTGATGTTCTAAATAATTTCGACTTTTTGTAACCATTCCTATTTTACTACACATTCGGATAGATCCTTTCAAGAGAAGAAAATTGATATGGCATACCACTGTGTTATGATTGTTTGTTGATTAGTTATAGACAATTCAATGTAAAAAATGCTAAAGAATGTAATTTTATATTATACACTATAGAGTTATAAAGTACTCAGTCAAAATGAGGTATCACATGACTCCCCATTCCATTTAAAATGTTAGGATGATTTTTTTGTCAATGAATTAAACAAATCGAGAAAATTGACGACTGTAAAAAATTAGGAAATAGTGAAAAATACAAATTACAAATAAAACATATTTGGTAACTTACCTGGTCCTGGTCCGGGCATATGCTGCATCGGTGGCGGGGGTCCGCCCCCACCTTGGAAGAAAGCTGGGTTGACGTGGGGAGCTGGTGGTCCCTGCGGCCCACCTGGGCCTCCCGGGGGTCCCATGGGCGGCCCAGGTGGTCCGGGGGGTCCTCGGGGACCCATCTGAGGAGGTCCACCTGGCGGACCCGGTGGAGGATGTCCAGGTGGAGGATGACCGGGGGGCCCCTGGGGACCTCCAGGACCGCCTTGGTGGCCTGGAGGCCCTGGAGGACCTCCAAAGCCTTGCTGAGCAAACTGCACCACAAAATTACATTATAGACCAGGGTTATATCATTTTTGCCAGGACTGTTACAGATAAAGTAAGCTAATGATTGATTCAGATGATAATAATAATAAATCTTCATTTCAAAATAATAGTGCATGATTACAATGTATTACACACTGTTAGGTGAAATATACGTCACAGTGTCATCAAGATATAAAAAACAAAGAGGCAAAACATATAACATAATACAGATATTACATTTCAAAATATTCTTAATGTTCATATGGTTCTAAGTGCATTAACACTTGATAAATACTCTTTTTATATTCTTTTATATCTGCCAACCTTTTAATTTCTTGTGGTAACTTTTTATATATTTTAGTGCAGCTGTAATGGACATTTTTTTCTGTAACCGTCAGATGATGGACTGGATACAGAAGATTTATATTTCTTGTGTTATAGTCACTTCATGGGTTACCAATAAAATTGTTAATGTTTTTAAATGTAAAGATTAGAATCTCTGGATTATATATTGTGGCTACAGTTAAAATTTTATTACTATTGATAGCAACAATATCTCAAAATATTTCATATTTTCAAAATTACTAATTCTGCTCAGGGTTGAAAACAATTTTAATTTTGATATTTATTAGGCTAGTGAAACTCTTAGTGAACAAACACTGAGTGCAACAACTGTCAACTCATTCAAAAATAAGCTGGATAAGACACTAAAAGATAGGGCGGCGTGTTTAAGAAAGCCACTGTAAAAAAAATACTACACAATAGTGTGACCAGACTTTTCACCTACTGTTGTAGCAGTAATAATAATAAAACTTGAACACATCATTAGTTATTATTATTACAAAAGGCGTATTTTTTAATTCACCAGTTGAGCCACCGGTGCAACCAAAATTTCCGTCTGAGCGACCGGTTGTACACCAAACTTGTCTATATAGTTTATATTGGTGTACAACCTACGCTCAGACGGAAATTAAACGGTAAAAATTGGTTAATTCCTTGCACCGGTGGCTCAACCGGTGAATTAAAGAATATGCCAAAAGACAGCAACATAACAACAAACTTCATTTTTCCTTTAATAATGATCACATATGAATCTTATTAGCCTTTTTCTCTTATTTTAGCTAATAAATATGTACTAAAACATATAAATAATAATTAAAAAATAATATGAATTAATAATAGCATTAACAGAATTAAGTAAACAGGAGTATCTTACCATTGGCGGTCTGGGCGGTCCTTGTACTCCAGGTGGGGGTCTGACAGGCCTCATGCCCATGTTTGGCCCCATGTTGGGACCATTCGGTCTGGGTCCATTCCACTGCGGATTCCCTTGGAACGGCGGCTGTTGCTGCATGTTGGGAGGCCCTCCGAATCCTGGCGGCGGCTGCATGCGCTGCCCTTGCATGCCAGGTGGCATTGGCCTACCCATTGGCTGACCACCCATTGGCGGCATGCGGGCGCCATATCCCTGGTGGTGCATGCCAGGACCTGAATGAACATTGTTGTTAGGATGGTTAGGATGGGGTGGGCGGGAATTGGAATTGTTTGTTGGAGATGGACGGGTTTTCGACTGACTTTCAAAGTTACTCAGTGCCTGCTTGGTGGGAGGGGTCACCACAGGGTGTTGGCCGTTGATCTCCTTCTTAGGCAGCAGCTCCAGGCACAACCGCAGGCTCTGCTGAGATCCCAACGAGATGACGCAGAATCCCTTTGACTGGCCGTTCGCGCGATGTTCAAAAAATTTCACTTCATGGAAGTCCTTCACGCCTATGTCACGAACCGCATTGGCGATATCTTGGTCAGTGGTCCACTGAAACAAAGGAAATTATCTTTGCATAAACATGTCTAATAAAATTAGTCTAGCAACACTCATACTAAAGCAGTAAGGTCAGGGATCATCAAGCTCACAACCTGATCAATTAAAGCTTATACTCAGGACCACACACTGCTTCTATTTAGCATCCAATTGATCCAGAAACTAAGCATCAGATTTTCCCAGGAGTTGTGTCTGTTGAGATAACATATATGCAGAGGTTTATGATTTTTTTATAGAAGAGCTCACAATATTATACTTTGCAGAACAACATTCTCATTTTAATCTCCCATTGATAAAAGCAAATGAAACTTGTAGCAGAAAATGTGTTGCCTGTGACATTTGTATGTCCCAGCATAAAGCCATGGTTAGATTTAAATTTTATGCAGCAGGTTAGCAAATCAAGAAACACTATATCATTTTAAAGAACAGACTTTGCATTTGCATCATGCACAAGCAAAAGAAACTTGGTATATTCAGGTAATTTAGGGCTCCGAATCCCATTATACAAAAAAATTGGTCACTTGGAACCCACAGTGAGTTCAGATATCACAATGTCATTTAGATTCAATGAACCCAGTTTATTTAGAAAACAATTCTTCAGTATGATCTTATATATTGTTTTTTATTTAACAAGAAATCGAAAAAAAAAAGTAAAACATTTTAGGAAGAAAGTTCTATTTTTGTCTCCTGTGAATAAAATTTCATGCACTCGATATGGGGCAGCAAATAAAAAATTATTTTGAACAAGACTTTAATCTTTATAATTGTGAGATACAAGATTTCTATAAATAATTTTGAAAAAAAAATAATCTTTTAAGCTTTACAGTAAACTAAGACATATCTCTTACCCATGTCAAATTTCCAACATACAGTTGATGTTTTCTTCCTGTAGCAGCAATATTGTTGACATTTTGTATGTTGGCCTGAATGTTATTGCCAGGATCATCACCAGGTGTAGGAGGGTGATTATTGCCACCACCTCTATCTACATTGTTCCCTGATGGTGCTGCTATCACATCATCATAAAGGTCGACATTTTCACCTCCAAAATCATCCTGAAAATATGAATACCATAATACTAATGTTAGTCTAATCATGTTAGCAAATTTCCACAAAATAATTGTAAAGTTTGGTTTCATTGATGCAAGTTGTGGGGAAAGCTAAGACAGTTTGAAACATAATTGTGTCTTCAGTTTGCATGCTAACTTTATAAACAGTACAGTGCATTTCAGTATGAAATAATGTTTTTTATAAACTTCAACGCTCATCTATGACTGTGTAACAATTTTAGCTCTAAATATGTATACAAAGTTAGTGTATGAATGAACTGAAAATTGTTTTCTTTGCAACAAAAGGTGACACATTCACTTTGTTTTAAAATGAGTATAACAACATGTATTTTCAAATATCATTTTGTTGTATCATTACATTACCAATAAGTGCCAAAACCTGCATTTTGCCTAGGTTTTTGGCCATAACTTTTTTGCTATTAGTTGGGTCTTCTAACAATGGGTTTATTTTGTAGGTTTTGTAAATACCTAAAAATCTTAATTGAAGATTTTTTCTGAATCTGGCAACACTTTCAATTCAATAGCAAAAAACATGTGTTCTCATTCATTATTGTCGAATAAAAAGTTGTCACCTATAAAATGGTGTACTCATTTTATGCCTCCATATTTGAAATACCCCCTTGAACAACTTGCATCAATAAAATGAAACTGTACAATTATTTTGCAAACCAGGGGAATGTTCGTCTATGATTAAAATGACTAGAGAATCAAAGAAATAAATTATGAAAAGCAACCTGTATATTATTGGCCAAGAGGCATCGATCTGTTTAAAAATTACAGTTGTAAAAGAATTTGAAAAAATTATGAGCACTCATGAATTTTGTGTAAAATTATCGTTTACAAATGCATTACTAATGTGTGAGATTACCTAGAAATCCTCTGACACTGATGAAATAGTCAGTAAATACCGATCATATGACATTCACCCCATCATTTGTATTTAAATATAGATATAGCTTTAAGCTAATTACGAAATATAAAGTTTAAGCTACAAAATGATGAATGTAAAGAGCTACAACTACAAAAAACATAAAACTAGATAAGACAGTGTTGAAGCTAGAATATATTACACTGAAAATGATACCATTCAGCTGCATATTATACTGTTATACACAAAACTGAATATGAGAAGCATTGATGACAAAATATTTATTATAGCAAAATTATGTAGCAGATCAACTGATCAAATATATATGAGCGAAAACTTGATTCCCAATTGGCCTCATTCATGAAGGTCATTAAAAACTATACAGGGTGTCCCGCGAGGTAAGGGATAAAACTTTTCTGAGTGTTCCTCAGGTCAATTTGAGTGAAAAAAATCATATGAATATGGGTCTGCAGATGCTTCCTTATCGAGATATGATTTTTTTATTTTTAGTGGGTGAAAACCACAATAAGTTGGAAAATTGCTTTTATTTAACAAAAAATTTAATACTGTTCATACGAAAACATCTGTTTACAATACTTAAAGTCCACATTCATGTTGTATTGCTTGATTTATATGCGTTTGTTCGTTTGTTGATGGAGCAGTTGTGTCAGTTTGATTGGACTTTGCAAAAATTACTGTCATGTTTGTTTTTAGAAGTGAGGAATATGGTGGCATGATGTTTGTCTATGGATATTGCAATGGAAATGGCAGAGCATCAGTGAACGAATACTGCTGCTGGTATCCAAATCGAAGAATACCTGACAGAAGAGTTTTGGCACATATGAAAGCAACAGGATTGGTTCCAAATGCTACTTTAACATGTCCATCTGTAGCTGCCTATGACTTAATACTGGATAGTGTTGAATGGTCACCATCAACCAGCAACTGCAGAATATCACGTCGTACTGGTGTTAGCCGAATGACTGTGTGGAGAACAATGCATAAGTTTGATTTGTACTCATTTCATCTGCAACCTGTCCAAGCTCTGCTGCTCACTAATCCGGACCCTCGTATGCAGTTTTGTCAATGGCTCCTCTCAAATCGTAATCTTGTTAAAAAGATTTTGTTCGCCAACAAATCTACTTTTACTCGAGACGACGTCAATAATTTGAGGAATTCCCATTCTTGGCAGCTTGAAAATCCCCACGCAACTATCGAACGGAATTTCCAACACCGTTTTTCTGTCAATGTCTGGTGCGGTTTGTTAGGGGATCACTTAGCTGGCCCTTTTGTGTTTGATGGTCGGTTGACATCTGAAGTTTATCTTACAAGAAGAACAGCCTGTGTTGTTAGAGGATATTCCACTGAAGAGCAGACAACAGATGTGGTTACAGCATGATGGCGCTCCGCACCACAGTGGTAGAAATATGACTGAATATTTAAATAACAATTTTCCTGGGCGTCGGATTGGACGAAGGGGCGCAGTTTCTTGGCCACCCCGTTCGCCTGGTTTAAATCCCTTGGATTATTATGTGTGGGAACATATGAAGTCTAGTGTATGCAGAGAAATCGCATACCTACCAGGGCTGAACGTCTCCGTAAAATTACTGATGTCGCTGACGACATATCAAGTAATCGTCTTGTTATTGGGAAAGCCACCAGTCACATTATTAAACGGGCTAGACTATGTTTAGGTACAGTGTGAAGGTGGGCACTTTGAACAACTATTGTGAATAGTTTTTTTTATTGTACCTAGTAATTTTCTGTCAACAATATTATGGTTTTCCCACAATTAGCTCCATAAAAATAAAAAATCATCTCGATAAGGAAGCATTTGCGGACCCATGTGCATAAGACCTTTTCCACTCGAATTGACCTGAGGAACACGTAGAAAAATGTTGTCCCTTACCTCGCGGGACACCCTGTATAGCGTGCATTGAATGAATATACGGTAAGACTCATTACAAAGATAAAATACTACAAATAGATACAGTGGAATTTATATTTTCCGAATTCAACGATCAATGGTGGTGGTCGTTGTTCTTGTACAAGGGTTGCCCGCTGCCTTACCTGAGCAAAATCTTGGTCTATATCGTCAGCATACAAGTCTATATCGTTTTCAGCCATAACGATCACTCAGCGTTTAAAATCTTACACACTATTGAATAAACATTTATTCATTTCACTTCGAGTTTACAAAACGCCGCTTCTTGATTTCGGCTTCTCTAATGGCCGCCAAAAAACATGGACGCCGTGCACGTCACGTACCTCTCATGGCTACCACAACAAAACAAAGAAAGTCACCAAAAAAGTAACAAGTAACTGACGGCTGACCTTAAGATCAGCTGGTGATGAGCGGGATCGAATGATTAGGCTATATCCAGCTCACACATTAGAATCTGTTTAATAGACGAATCTATGAATTGAATTGATTCGATAGCTTTTCTTGGGCGCGACAGGTATAAGTATACGGCAGGTGCACACTCATAACCAGTGTTGCCGAACCTACCGATTTTTCGGTGTTTCTACCAAAATGAGGCATTCACGGAAAACGTCCTTATTTTCCACGATTTTTTGGAATAATTTAGATATTTCCAGATTTGTACCGAGAAAGCACTGGAACGAAAAATAAAGCCAAAACATGAATTCTATGTAGGTTTATGTCCCACATACCAGTCATACATAAGAGCGTACACACTTAGGCTGTCGGGCACAGGATGAGGGACGTAGTTTTGGATTGCCTACAAATATGTACGGACATCCTTGTCCGCTTTCCCTATATTGGTTTTTGTGAGTACACCAGGTTCAGACTCGTAGATCATCGTCATTACCGCATCATATCGGACAAGCAATATAGAAACCAAAGCTTTTTTGACATTAGATTGGTTTTTTGTGACATTACATACGATTTTCTAGACGATGTTAACTTATAGCACTAGCTGATGGAGACCTGTTGTGAACTCGTTTTGTAGTTGTATGTGTTGCCTGAACGACATGATGTAGGAGGAAGGAAACAGCAGTGCATAGTGAGGATTTGTGTGCTAATAATATGTGTTGATGATAATTCCATTGCAATGCATGCACATATGCAAATTTGCTGAATTTGGTGAACAAGTGAGAAAATATGTTACAGAGATAAATATTTATGAAAGTGTCATTACATTATTTTGTATTTCCAGTTATTTACACTTTATAGAAATTTATTTTGCGATGTCAATAGAAAATACAAATCAGCGCCTAGATGTGAGGCATTGCGAAAATGTTGGATGTGTGATAATTTTTCTGTGATGTGGCTTAATTGCACACAACGCAGGCGCGGTGGCGATTTCCCGTAATGCTCCTCAAAGTTTTTGAAAACACAAGAAACCGGAAAATACGTAATTCATAACTTTAAACATAACCTGTCTTCAGAAACGACAACACATAAATAACCCGTCGGCCATCGGACACAGCTAATATCTAGATGTACTTCATTGGCAGCATATTTAGTAATAATTTTCTTACATAGCAAATACCAACGAACTTTCTCTGTTTCACAAGACATAAATATACTTGTTCTCTGCAACAATGCGTGTAGTTGAGTCATTCCTCCATAGAGATTGACGCTCACAACGATCATAGCGAGCAAACGCGAAATGAACTATTTGCACCCTAAAGACTACGTAGTCTGCAAGAGGACATTTTGTTGCTTTTTTTGAAGTTTTACAGGCTTTTTACATAATAGTCGTGCCACTGATGTATCTAATTAAATACTAAATTAAATGTCAAGTGATGAGACTTCAAGTTTAGGGGTAAAACAGAATCTTTTAAACAATAATGGCTAGAGTTTCAATAGTGATTGCAAAGGAGTTTGTAGAACAACCAGTAATCTCATGCTAGAAGTGGTAATAAAGAACTTCACATTTTTGCATGAACAGATGATTTTAAAAACCTGTGTTGTGTATGGGCGCGCAATACAGAACTATTTTTTTTATATAGAGAACGCCGCGCAACGCATAGCCCCTTGATCAATCGCTGATCTTGTGTCCTCTGGTTTCATCCTCCTACCAATTTGTCCTAGAATCTATTGATTTTCAACGACACCGTCTACCGATTTAATCTTTTCCGGTTCGGCAACACTGCTCATAACTCGCTTGACGTGCACTTGACGACAGACGGGACCACCTGCCACTTGATTTTGTGTTATGAGATTGTATGGAATTGTCAAATTTCCTGAATAGTGCAATAGTTGAAAATAAACAGATTTTTAAAAAATGAATTGTAGATTGTCGGACTATTATGTCCCATAAATACGCGTATCCGTTCCTCTTATCAAAAGTGAAGCCAGCAGTACATCCCGATAGCTGTTTTTATATCAGATGAATTGAAGAAAAATAGGTATTAGTTTCAGTAGGTCATCGATATGATGAAAATTTCATTTAGATGAATAGAAAGCATGTAAAAAGTGACATGGATTCGGGTTTGGGCAGCGACGAGGACCGCAGAGGCCGCAGCACCAAAGAGCAAAAACAACTCAGAAACCAGCAACTGCTCAGTGGCTGTTTTATTGATGCGGCTAATCTTTCCGACGATGCAGAAGTGAGTAAATATTGCTTATATAGTTCGTTAATATATAACTTAAGAATACAGAAATAGATAATCAACATTTAGGAATCATTGTAAATCAAATTGTACTGTCTTCTTCAATACAGTTTCTTCTGAATCCACTTTTTCCCTTCATTTTCTGTAACAATTTGTTTTAAGGCCAGAGATATAACTGCTGAGATTGTGTGATGGAGGCACTAATTGAATCTCTTTTGGCTATATAAAACAATATCAAGAAGCAGAGCTGAGGAATGGCATTTCTATCATATTGAATTGGGTTAAGGTCTACACTCTGTATACATCAGTAGCAATTAAAAAGGCTTAATTTAGTTCTGCATCTAGTCTTTGCAATAACTGATAAGACACTATTTCTTAATAACATCTAGCCCTTGCAAGTTATAATTATTATTTTAGGTAGACCAACAACACAGTGATGAGAGAAGGCAGGGTGCTTTGTTGTTTCAAACCTCTGTGCCTCACTTCTCTATGCTTCAGATGTCCCACTCACAAGAGGAGGCCAGCAATTTTTCAGGATCCTCCAGCAACCTTAGTCAGTTCCCAGAAACAAATACTCCCTACAACTCTATTGTTCATTTGGACAATGAGGAACCAGAGGCAGCAAGAAAGTCACCTTTGGGATTTTATGTTGATTTGAGTGATGTTCCTGATACACCTAAGTCTCAGCCTTCATCATCAGCTACCAAAAATATATTTTCCATGGTAAATGGAACTCAAAGTATTTTAAGTAATCAAAATCTAATAAGTTGTTTCATTGTGCTTTAGCTACTTTGCCATAATTCTAGCATAGTGCATATTTTCAGGTAATTGATTTTGAGGGTCCAAAAAAAGAAAAACCCATCAAACTCACCTCTTCATATGCAGTTCATAAGAAAGCTAAATTAGCTAACAAATCTAGTCTAACTACAAAAGCTAATGGCAGTCTCTCTTCAAGTGTTAGCTCTGTTAACTCAACATCCATGGCAGGTATGTTTTTTTGTAATATACATTTTTTGGAAAACTGGGCTCTACATACCATAATAGCTTAACAATTCAATAAATACTGTTTGAAATAGCACTGATAATATTCATATCAAACGGTTTGCTTAATATTTGAAAGTATTTCACATTCCCCAGGTACAAGCAGACAGTCTGAAGAGCATGACTCAAAATTCTCCAAAGGTGTCAGTTGTGAAGTTCTGAGTGTATCACTTATAAAAAAATTATCAATTTCCTCAAAGTCATCAAGTAGCACAGAAAATTTGGAGAAAATGAGTGAAACCTCAACAAAAGATTCTGTTGATGAGGAGCATATCGAGAGTGATATTGCAGAAAAAATGAAAGAGACTGTAGAAGATGGAGATAGGGAGGAAGTATTTGTTGAAAATAAGTCCAGAAATAACAGTAATGGTGACCAGGAGAGTAAACAATGTGATAATAAAGTACAGAATCAGGTAAGTAATTTAATTACATGTAAATTTTTTCCATGTCATCTTATAAGAAAACCACCTTCCAACATTTTCTGTGCCAACTTCTACAAAATAGACCTATACTTTTTTATAGTAGCACTAACACATAATACTTCTAGGGTGGTTCCCTTCTTGCTTAACTTGGTTAATTTGCATTCAAAGTGTTTCATTTTGAATCAATTTTCATGTTTTTAATCATCTTCAGAAAAAGAGGAAAGCATTTTGAATATTATGAATCATCCTAGTCTGGCCCAGGTACTTTTCTCTACTATAATTAATAAAAATTTGTCTAACTCTTTCTGTTGTAGCTCTATGACTTCGACCATACTTGCAATTAGGGAATTTAAAATATTCAATTGGATGTTTCTTATTTTTTCCAATTGCTGTATGGTGAAAGTTCTGAATTTTATCTTTCCCCAAACAACAATATCGTCATTTTTATATTACATAAGGGAAGAATAGTCACCTTGTTTAAATAAATTGTACCAAAATATTGTATTTGGCAGATCATTTTTATTAATATCAACGATGAAGGTCAGCCTCAGCAATGAGATAATCCATGCTGTTATATTAGAAAATTACTCATCATTTTCCATATACAGCCAGACAATATCATTAAGCACTTGGCCATGATGTTTTTTAACATGCGGTATTCAATAAATTAAGTTACTTGTTAAAGGCAGATTATAACATTGGAAATATTTATACTATTCTTCATTTGATTGTGTGTGTATTAAATATAGGAAATGTATGAGAAAGAGACTTTTATTAGTTGCAATAATTCGAATTATAATAAATAGTTGATTTATATGTATATGAAAAAATGTTAATTTACATGTATACTTAATGTGTGGGAAGTGTCGAATTAATTCTTTGACACGAGTATTTTGAATGTTTGTTATTGTTTTTAATCACATTTTCTCTTTGACCTTGATCAACCGTCGACATTTAAATAGTCGTATAATTCATCCTACCTCAACATCAAATATTTTTTTTATGTATTTGCTTACAAACACACACCTGAATAGAAATGGAAACTTGGAATGTGTCACGTACATAACTCTTTCATATAAGGCATCAATAATGAATTAATAATAATAATAAATCCGTCCGAAACACAATGAAGAGTAGGCCATACAGTGAGTGAATTTCAATTCAACTGGTGTCGTGTTGTTATTGTTGTGATGGATGAATGTTCTTCGGAATTAAGCGTCGATACTGCTTCTCTGAAGGTTTGTTACAACATATATTTTCACCTGTAATTGAAACATTTCTACTTAACGTGTACAAGGGAGGCTGATTTATTATCTTTTGAAGAGTCCGTCATTGATATTTCATCAGTTTAATACTTTCTTTTTAACTCTCGTGTACTTTTAACGGTCCTACTAGTATTCAGCGCCCAAAATTACCTAAGTGTTCCAAGTTTCTGCCAACAGAAGACGAAAATGAGCAATCTATTAGAATAATTTGTATTAATGTATCGGTGACCGTGACATAAGAATTTTTTGTGCGATAAGTAACGCTCGGTATTAATTCGATATATACTTACGAACGATATCATTATGAAATAACACAATTGAAATTTCTCTGGATTCTTTTTGCTATTGTACGATAATGCTGTTTTGTTTGCACAAACATTATGCTTTGTTAAATTCAGGCACGCTGTACGCCTCTTCATCATATCGAATGAATGGAAAATCTCCCAGCGGCGGAATGTCAAACAATAAAATCAACTGACTGTCGCGCAGCGCAACAATTTGTTAATGCCGATAAGATGATTTATAGCATCAGCATTTTAAACAGTAGCACCTCCAACCGGCAAACTTGTTTTTCTTTGGCTTATCAATGTCTAGCCTATACAGTAATTACATGGTGTACTTTGCTATTAATGTTGCTGTTCGGATACTTTAAATGTTTTTTGTTGTTTCTTATTTTGATTTGGAATAGTGATTGTAATATATACAGGTATGTTACAATTACTTAGTATAAATGGATTATCGAACGTTATTTTGAAAATCATGAGCATTTATTATTATTTTTTAGCAATATATCTTTTCTCCCAATAACTGAGGAACATTTTAAGGTCAAAGTATTAGAGTTTCGGATGTTATATAAAATTTTTTATAATTTAATACTTCTCGAATTCATGCCTCTAGTAATGCTGAAGTAATGCCTACTCTAAATCGCGCCAGTACAACAGGTGTACTAGAGTCAGCAAAAGACCACGGTGGCAATTTCAACTAGAATAGATTTAAATGTTGGAAATAGAGACTATTCGCGAAAATGAGACGCTTGAATTTTTGCGTGTTTTCTGGTGCCTAATTTTGAAATAAAAACATTCTTATCCTTTTACTCCCAACGCCTGCTGGAGGGAAAGTATTGTAATCTCGAAAATTTTCGAAAATGAAAAAAACGTCACTCATTACCGTCGGTCTGTCTGTCTGTCTGCCGAGCTGCCCTCTAATCATGGACCTCCTATAACCTGGTACATGCTGCAAGGATTTGATGAAATTTCCACACAAAGTTGCTACTATGCCAAGGACGAAATCGTTTTTGAAAATTGGACCAGTGGTGGAGAAGATTGAGGCAAAAAATGAAGATTGCTCAAACTTCTATTTTTGACATTTCAGAGGCTCCTGAAGTTTTGTAGGGATTGAAATTTAGGTGTTAAGGATTGTAGGTGGTGGGTGATGGTACATCTCATGTTTTTTACGGTAGTATATTGATACGCTTCCAGCCCCAGTAATTTTACCCTATCAGTACATATTTCACACATTTGCCCTTATATAAATATTTATAGGCGAGACACGCGGTCTGTCGGGATGATGCGGTTCACTGAACCTTACGTTGCGCCTGACAGCATCAACGTCGATATGGCTGGCGCGTATGACATGTTTATCTGGAGTGGTCCAGCAGCGTTACCAGATTGTCGATACTTAGGACAGGGAAGAAACTAGCGATAGCGTTATCAAATGGATGGGGACTATGGAGTCTGTACTAATTGTATATGGGCCTGTTTGATTTACTTGTCAGATTTATTTTGTTGTACATGTTTGTAGCTAGCTCAAAGCAACTATCTTGAACCGAACATAATCCTTTAAGAACTGATGACAGCATTGCGTGGGAAGTGCACAGTCAACCTACTTGACGCCATTTTTATTTTGCAGATTGATCTTTTTGTCCTTCATACACTTTACTTTGAAGAGTGTTTTTTATTCTGAAGGTCACAAAAAAGTAATTAATGTGATCTTGTTTCAAAAGTAAATAATTATGTGTGAATCTGTTCTGTGAATTATCGAGTTATTCTTATTTACTTAGGGTCGGAGCTCCGCAATGTCCGTGAAAGTGGAACCTCCTCCTGAAACGGCTGTACCGTCATTAGCAGCAGCTCCTCCTCAATCTCAACAATTCGTGAAATTGTCCGACCTGGAATGCCAGAAACCGGCTCGAGTTGACCTCAATTTCACCCCTAGGATGAGTCGCTCGATCCCCGAGAGCTCCTGGGTGGAGAGCCCCCTGTTGATGTCCAGCTCGGTGGGCTACAGGAGCGCCCCCCATCCGCTGGAGCCCGAATTGACCACCTCGCAGGGCTCCGAAGACACATTCAGCCACTCTTCAGAGTCATTTTCTACCAATCAGCCCAAAAAGATGGTCAGGAGGCTAGGTACGGATCTGCTCAGGATGTTCTTGGAGGAGATAGGTAGGCATTTCTATTTGTAATAATTATTTTTTATTTTAAATAATAAAGCGGAAACGTAAAATACTCAGTTGAAGATTCACTGGAGTGTTTAATCATTGCATGTACTGTGTATGTTAAGACGGAACTAGTAATTGATGATGTTTATGAAAGTAACTACATGCAGTCAGTTTTTCTTATATTACACCACATCAGTATGATTATCATTTGAAATGCTTGGTTTACTGTTTTTATGCTATCTTTATTATAATCGTAATAATAATACAGTAAAACACAAAGGCGGAGATGGGTTCCATGATGTCTCAATATTAACAAGATAATTAAAAGGTTTTGCGATTTCACAAAGTAATTTTTTCTGGCCTTTGCCGTTTGAATTTAAATAATAATTTTTACATTTGTTAAAAAGTCGACTTGCCCATTTTGATTAAAATTATTATTGGCTGATTACAGGACCAGACGTCACAGTACAGGTGGAAGGACACAAAATCAAAGCACACAAATGCATTTTGGCATCTAGGTGTCAATATTTTGCGGCATTGGTCAGCGGAAATTGGTTAGAAAAATCTGGAAATATTATATCGTTACAGGTAAGTTCACATTTGGCCTTCGCATTATTTTAAAATAATATATCCGTTTGTTTTGTAGGGCTTCTCGTACGAGTCTGTGTATTTCGCCTTGTGTCACATTTATAGCGGAGCCGCTCATGTTCCAGATTCCATCAGTCTGGTCGAGTTGGCCTCCTTGGCGGACATGCTCGGTTTGGAAGGACTCAAAGAGGTCGTCGAACATGCCCTCAAACAAAGACATTGCCACAATTTCCACAGGTCTGTATTTGTACCCACTGTTATTTAATTTGACTTGTACACCAGATATTAATTTATCCATAGGTTTGATTTTTACTTATGTTGTAAAATATTTTTTAGGGATGCACCAAATACTATACTTTTTGCAGAAGGTTGAGTGCTGGGCATGCGGTGGACTGATTTATTTGTTCCGGGTTATTTGATCTACTGTTAGTATCATTAAGATTGCAAAGGGTGTCTCAATAAGAACGCTGGATTTGGTTTTCAAGAAAAACACAGTCTTTTCGAATTGAGCGAGTATTTATATTTCAACATGAAGACGAGTAGTTGCGATTAAACATGAAATAGGACATCCGGTAACTGGCCACCACGAAACCTTAGGCACAGAGTCAGTCTTTTCTTAAAATTCTGGATAACGTTTTCGCACAACTGCGGCTTTGTTTCGTCGATAACGCGACGTATCTCTTCTTTAAGGCGTTCAACTGTTTGTGGCTTGTTCGCATACACCTTTTCTTTCACATAGCCCCAGAGGAAGAAGTCCATTGGCGTTAGATCGCACGATCTTCGTGGCCAATTTTGATCGCCAAACCGATAGATGACACGGTCTGTACACTTGGTCCGCAGTAACACCATTGTTTCGCGTGCTGTGTGGCAGGTCACACCATCTTTTTGGAAGAACATATCCTCCAGATCAATTCGATCCAACTGGGGCCACAAAAGCTCGGTTAACATTTCGCGATTCCGCACTCCATTAACAGTCACCGCAGTTCCAGCTGCATTTTCGGTCCAATCACTCCGCCATTCCACAATGCACACCAAACGGTAACTCGCGGCGGATGCATTATTTGTTCGTTTATCACACGAGAGTTTTCAGAACCCCAAATTCGGCAGTTCTGCTTATTGACGTACCCGTTCAGTTGAAAATGTACCTCATCAGATAAAATGATTTTCTTCGAGAAATCCGCATCAATTTGGTGGTGCTCCAGCGCCCAATCGACGAATTCACGGCGCTGTGCATGGTCCGTTGGCTTGAGTTCTTGCGTCAGTTGAACCTTGTACGCATGCAAGCACAGATCTCTCTGCGACTATATTTTCGAGGGACCGACCAGGACGGCGACGAACAGTGGACTTCACATTCAGCAACCTAAATTTTTTTCTCAAATTTTGTAATTAAACGGCGAACTGTCGACTCATTTGGCGCCGAAAATTTGACGTGATTTGCGAACTGTTTCCGCGTAATTTTCTCCATTTTTGTAGTGAGTTTTCACAATAATTAAACGTTGCTCGTTTGAATACTGCTCCATGACGTCTGGACATGACAGCTGTCGTCAAGTAAACGCCATACCGTACACAAAAAGTGCTGCAAATTCAAATCCGGCGCTCTTGCTAGTAGCTGCTCCATAGACTACCGTATGTTTTATGAACACGTAGTTGTATCACTTTATATATAAAACAGCTGCCCAAATACCATAAACACACTATCTTACTGGATAAGATTGTCGATATTTACTAAAAAAAAGTCAAGGAAAAATATTGCACCTTTGGCTATTTTTTGACGGTGTGTTAATTTCTTGGAGAACATATCAGGAAAGTTCGGGAAAGACATACGAGCTCAGCCATTGCACGTTTGCAAATCTTTGACCTATAAAAGTTGTGTCTAGTAATTTAATACTCGACGCGAACCAGGTACAGAGTACTCGGTGCATCCCTAAATTTTTTTTACGAATTACCGCTAATGGTTTTTTAGATCGTTTTGTGTTTTTCTGTGTAGACCATGCGCTGGTTGTTGCACGGGAGTGTTAGAAGTGTTGCCGTTATCAGCCGCCTACGGCTTGGACGATTTGTATCAGCGTTGCTTGCAGTGGGTGACGCAGCACTTCGTTCGAGTATGGACGAGCAGAGCATTCGCCAGTCTGCCCAGGGAGTTGAGGGAGAAATGCTATCAACAACACGTCGTACATATGACACCTGACAAAGTGCTAGAGACCATTGTGCAATGCGAAAAGGTTTGTTGCAACAACTCTATACCAGTTGATCCTTTTTTCTTGTCTTTATATACACAGGGTGTCCCAAAAGTCATGAATCAAACGATAGGCGTGATAGGGGGGTCATTACCAATAAGCAAAAGCATATATTATGCCCTTATCCGATTGTGCACGATTTTTGATCCACCGTCATTTTTAGGAATTCGTAACAAATCGCTACTTTTGAAACTGGACTATTCCTTCTATTGCCTTTTGCTATTTCTCAATCAGATTTACAGGATATGTCCCAAATGATGTATCGTTGACAAAAGTTATCAGGGATTATTCCAATTAATGTAGGTACAGCAATGGGCTAGACTGTCTGTTGTCAAAAATATTACAACATATTCAACAAGGCCTGGACAAAATGTTAGTGGGCTACTTTGTTTAAGTGTCCATAGTTATCAAATTTTCTGGATATTATGGACTTCAAAAATACCTTTTAAATAATCAGTTATTTTAAATAACTTCTGCTCAAGATAGATAAAATGTTGCAGGTACCCTAAATCTTGAAAATTCCCACTGTGTGAATTGCTACGTGTCGAATAGGATGAGAAAACAAAGAAGGAACCATAAATCTACAAACTTGAATTCCAGGTCTAAAGAATCTAAGAGATCTTTGGGACACCCTTATAAATGTGAATGTCTGTCCAGTCTGTCAGTATCATGTCTGAACCACAATCTGAGCTGCTTTCCAGTGGTTTTTGGTTTGAGAGTGATACGTTCCTGAACTGTTCCAGAAACAATGCATGAGAATACAACGTGCAGAGGAACGGTATTGGTGTTGAACACTACCGAGTTACTCAACAAGGTCACTGGATAGCAGCTCAGCTTATCCACGAAAATATACAGTGTGATCAAAAATTTAGAATAGATCGAAATATCTCGAAAAATATGTTTCCTAGAGAGAAATGTTCTAGACCAAAGCTGTAAGGTTTTAAAAGTTTCATCCATTGGTAATTTTGAAAGTAATCTTTGACTATCAGCATCAAGGTCATTTGAAGGACAAGACATTTTTTTTTAAAAAGTCTAAATAGCGGGAAATTTTACGTTGAAATGTGTCGTTGAAAGAAAATATCTCGGAAAATACGTTTCATGAAGAAAAATGTTGCAAAACAAAGTTGTAAGTTTTGAAAAGACTCATCTAATATGGGTCTTGAACGTGGCCTTGATTATGACTTTCAAGGTCATTTGGAGGTCAAGACTGTTCTTGAACAAAATTCCTATTTTTGACACTGGAAATGTAAAGAGCGGGAAATTTTACGTCGGGGTATGTCTTTGCATATGATCTTGACCATCATCTTCATGGATGTCCAGAAAGTAGAGAAAGAACAAAATACGTTTCATGAAGAAAAAAAGAAAAATGTTTCGTAATAAAGTTGTAAGGTTTCAAGCTCACTTGAACGTCAGGACAGTTTGCTTAACTGGACACCCGTATTTTTAACACAAGAAATAAAAAGAGCAAGAAACTTTACGAACAAGTATCTCCATGACCTTGACTATGACGAGCAATGTCATTTGAATGTCAAATTAATTTTTAACGGGAAACATTTATTCTTAATTCCTGAAATACAAACTGCGGGCAATTCTAAGCTCAAGAGTATCATTCCTAATGAGCCTGATCATGCCTTTCAAGGTAATTTTAAGATCAGATGAATTTTCAAGTAAACACCTTTCTTTTTGACGAGGATGCAAAAAAGCAAACCAGAGTGACTACTGCATTACTTTGAATATTGAATTTCTTTCTCTGAAACCAATCTCTTTCACACTAATGCGAAACGTATCACTTATCCGCTACTTCCACACGAGCGGAACCGTGGGTTTAGTCTAGTAATGTTAAAAAAGGGCCTTGTATCATTCACGTAGCAGATTATGTGATAATCGGAACTGGAATTTTACATTTAAGGATATTTTTCAACTACATCTGCTTCTGTTTCAATATATATTCTTAAATAACACGAATATCTATCTAGGTGTTAGCTACCCTGCCTTCGATGCGTTGGGCAGAACCAGTCAGTCAGTTGGTTCTACAATTGACGGACGCATGCCATTTGTACCACAGACAACATTTTGCTGGCGTTCTGGGTTCGAAGTACGTCGCAAGTTTGGACACCGGCTTAGGATTCGGCGTGCAACAAATCGAGGAACAGATGCTTGCCGCAGCTAAAAATCTGGGAGTCGAACAAGCTTGCAAGAGCTATACTAGGTGAGGATCTTGCTTCTGCTTCTTAAACCCATGTTGTTCAAAAATTCTTATCGAGAGACACTTTGGGCGGAATTGTGAAGATATTCTCAGATACACAGCAAAAAGTAGGATGCTAATGCCTAAACGCTGCCTATCCTAAAATATTCCCTTCTTCCCCTTTGCTCTCGTTCTTCCTTCTCTCCTTTCCTTCCCTTTTTTCCTTAAAATTGTCTGGTTTCTGGGTTACCAGACCTGACAGACTTACAAACTGACACTGTGACTCAAAAGCTAAGGTCCACGGACCGCTCTTACAACCAACGATGACTTGAAGTAGGATGCTATTCAATTTCTAGCCTGAATATGTCAACGGCCAATTTATGGAAAAATGTGGATGGTGACGGAGAGTGATTCATTATAATTAGTTTAGTTTCTAGCTGCGAGTTGCATTTTTACTAAGGGCCGTATCGTCAGTCGTTCCTACAATCTTAACACGCCTTTATGGCCTCCTTGATTTCCATAGTCTTTTTTCTCCTTCAGAAAGGATGGGGTATTTCTAGATTTCTGCTGTGCTGTGTCAGCGTCAGCGCTCTCCTATTGTGAGGCTATGTTTTCCTTTTGAATTGCAGGAGATTTCAGGCTTATCAAAAGCATGAACAATTCGATGCAAATAGTTATTTGAAACATATACTCAAAATACAGCGCTGACAGTAGAAAACTATTAAAATCAGGGAGGCCATAAAGGCGTCCTACAATTACAGGCACGACTGACGATACGGCCCTTAAACTCCATGATCTTCAGACCGAATGAAACCAGATATGTATTAATTACCTTTAGTTAACATTTCGCCCATCACGGGTCGTCTCTTTCAAAGTAATAATTTGTATCTGGAAAAATTTACAACGGTGGCAGAAACGTCAGTAAAAAGTAATTAATATCTATGTGGTTTCATTTAATCAGTTGACCATGCCGTTCTGTCAACCTAAAAACCATAGGATACGTTTCAGGATGTTCTATCTTTTACTGTTGTACATTTTATTACGGAGATATGTGCGAAATACGATTCTTCATATAGATAATGATAAATAATTCTCTGGGGGAAAAGGCTTCTTCTATGTAGTCCGTGAATTTAGTGTAATACTTATGTGTTTGAAATATTTCTTTTGTTATTGTAGGTGTTGCAAGATGCTGAATCAGTCTTGGAGCAGGCCGTTCGGAGATATGCTGAACAAGATCAAATCACAATTAGAACAATGTCTAGTCAGCCAGGCAGATCGTCTTATCAGAAGCAACGCGTGGTTACGATTGGATACCGCACTCAGGTATTTTCATTTACTATTTGATATTCAATTATTGAAACCTCAATGCGTAGTTCATAACTTTCACGAGATAAACTAATCGGCTTATTTTGCGGTCCGATAAGTACGTAGCCTACAAAAGAAAAGCGAAAATTTTGGAAAAGTGACGATTTATTTTTCAACATAGTCTCCTTTTAGCTCGATACACTTACTCTGCTTTAACCCGTCTGAAAAATACGTTTTTTGGAGGTCAGCAAAGTAGGCCTTGGCGGCTATAGCCTTCTCATTCGACTCAAATTTCTGCCCGGCGGGTGACTTTTTCAGGTTTGGTAGCAAAAAGAAGTCGCAGGGGACCAAATCTGGAGAATACAGTGGATGGGGCTTTAGCCTAATTCGAAAAATTGGGCTGTAGCGACGACGTAGCCGGTGCGATGTCATGGTGGAAGAGCACTTTTTTCTTCGACAAATGGGGCCGTTTTTCTGCAATTTGGCGTCGAATCGGCCCAATAATTCGGCATTGTAGAGCCCAGTGACCGTTTTACCCTTCTCCAAATAGTCTATGTAGATCACACCTTTTGAATCCCAGAAAACGGTGGCCATCACCTATCCGGCCGATGGGACAGTCTTCGCCTTCTTCGGAGCACGTGTGAAGACCACCGTTACGTATGTTCCTTGGACTCTAGTGTGTACCAGTTGATCCATGTTTCGTCGATGGTCACGAAACGACGCAGAAACTCCTTCGGATTGCGCTTAAACAGCCTCAACGACTGCTATGAAGTGGTCTCAGCAAACGCGGCACCCATCGCGCAGACAGCTTTCTCGTGTCCAGACCCACACTGTCATTTGATATGCCTACTGCTTCAGCTATCTCTCGTACCTACAGTCGGCGGTCTGCCAAATTTTTGTCGCGTTATCCTCCGTGGTAGCCGTTTTTGGGACCCCTGGGCGTGGTTAATTGAAACCGATGTGCGACCATATTGAAACTCGTTAAACAAATTTTTCACGGTCGCCATCGAAGGAAAAGAGTCACGGTACACAGCATCCAAGCATTCTTTGATTTCGCAGCGCGACTTCCCTTCCCAAAACAAGAATCGAATTACCGACCGATATTGCTTTTTTTTCATTTTACTAAAATCCGCGGACACGCCTACTTGCACACGCGGTCAAAACACAAAACTACCAGTCCGATTCGTCTGACATTTTGGCAGTACTACACGATAGTAATTTCCTTCGCGATAGTGGCGCCACCTAAGGACTTATCGGACCTCCCTCGTGTTTGAAAAATAACGCCTATCCAAAAATTGTTTTGCATGTTTCAGGAGTCGGATAAAAGAGCTGACGCCCGCTTTGGAGCCAGCTAGTCGCCTCCCCCGAGCCACGCCCCTACGTCACAAGAAACCCTCCCCGTCCTCATCGCTGAAAACCGGTTCCGCCCCTCTGATCAGTTCTTCGGATTCGTCGAGGAACTCATCGCCGAGCACGCAGTACAATCAGCAAGCGGCGATTGGCGCGGCGAGGACGAATGGGAATGCTGGAACGTCGTTAAGGCGGAGTCTTTTACTAGCGGCGAAAGCGCCACAACAGGATCAAGCGGCTAAACCAAACATTCAACCGAAGAGGTCCAGGTGAGAAACATTCAATACCTATCGCGTGTGTGAAACAATGATCTACTGGAAATATTAGGACTAACTATTTTGTAAACTGCAGAAATAGCAGTTTTGGGACACGTAGCACTCATGAATTGGCTACTCCTTCAGGATTTACACTCTCAACAGTACAAATAATTTTGAAAGACAGTAAATTTGACCCGTACCAAATAAAACTTGTTCATGAGCTCAATGAAGACGATTTTGATAGAAGGTTGCAGGCTTGCGAATTAATGCCCCAACGTTTAATCTATAATGCATATCTGTTATCTAATATTTGTTTCTCGGGTGAGTGTACGCTTTATTATGATTATTATTATCATCATTACATGGTGCTGCAAAAAGACATAATTCTCGATATTGGAGTGACTCGAATCTCGAATCCACATTTGTTTCGAAAGGTACACTCGCTATATCCTGAAAAAATAAATGTGTGGGTCGGCATTTTTGGACGTCATATTGTAGGACCTTTCTTTGTTCCTGGAAACTTGACGGGCGAGACTTATTTGGACATGTTGGAAAATACAATAGAGCCACGCATTACCGAAATAATAGAAAATGACGTTAATTATAATGAAAATTACACTCATTTCTAACAAGATGTTGCACCGCCGCCCTATGTGTGTACGACTGTTTTTGGACTCCCATTTCCCGAATCAGTGTATCGGCAGACGACTCCCGATCGAGTGGCCGCTGAGATCTCCCGAACTAAGTCCTTTAGATTACTAGTAAAGTTTTTAGTACGAATCCAGATTCCATTCAAGAATTCCGTCAGCGGATTACGGCTGAATGCAGACAAATAACTCAAGACATGCTTGAAAATGTGAGGAATAGATTCGAACAAAGTCTTTATTATTGCATTGAGGTAAATGGACACCACTTTCAGCACTTATTACCACATTGACCTACCTCTTCATAGCAAATTAATTTTTACTTCAACTTAAATGTGCCTGAGAACTAAGTTGTTTTTTGTTTTTTTAATACTCGGAGACTTGTTCATAATTTTAAAGTTTTGTTACTATGGGAACTATATTGATTACTATTTTATAATTTTATTATAAACTCAAATAGCTTCACAACGATTGAAGATAGGTATAAACTTTGTTGTAAAAAAGTTACTAAAAACTTCATTGAGAATCTAAAAATTAAAAAAGAGGGTTTCAATTTAAAAATCTAAAGTGTAACGCAATCTTATTTTTGAATCACTCTGTATAGGCTATAGATGAAAAGACTTCCCCCTAGAAATAATATTGTCTTGTCCGAGCGTTTTTACCAAAATGTACCAGGAGAGTCACAAATAGGGGTGCGACCTTTTCGTTGGACCACTCTGTGAAAACGAGAATTTCGAGGCTAGCTGCCATTTCAAGGACTTTTGGGACTTATTTTCATGTAAAAATCAAGTTAAAAAAGGCTCCTGTGGGGTTATTTGCGATTTCATATCATTTTTTGCCTATTTAGTTTTTGTTTTATATACAAAAACAGGGATTTTGTTATATACCGGGTTTTTCAAATTGAACGAAAGATGGTTAAATGAGGGAATAGTTGCGCAATCAGGCAAGTTTCTTATTCCGAGTATTCTTGGAAATAAACGAAAGATACCGAACTTTCAAAATCGGTTTTATTTGATCCCGACTTGAGATGGGATTTCAAAATAAAAAGTACATTAACATTGCAACTTTTTCTCTTCTACAATATGATAATTAAAAATAATTAAAATTTGAATAGGAAATTTCGCCTATTTTTCTCAATCATTTTCCGCTGTCTTGCTGACACTATGTAGAATATCACTGTCCGTCACTCTGTATAAGAAAAAATTGAAATTTGCAGTAATGGTAACTAAAAGATCATTCAGAGTGTAGATTTTTTCGCTTTTTTTGACTATTATGACTTGACCTATCCCCCGCTTCCGGCTTGACATTAACTTCTGTATAATAGTGGTTTTAATATTGCAGTAGTGGCAGTACCCTGACGCAACCGACGGCAGCTAGCGCGGCGAAATCAGCAGCGGCAAAATTGGCGAGAGAAGCCCGACAAGCGGCAGCGGCGCAACATAGGCCGATCAACAGGTCGCAAATGTACCAAAGGAATTCTGCAAATACTTCAGTAAAGCAATCGTCCTCGAGGACTTCCATCCCCTCGACGATTCACAGCGGGGTTTCTAGGAATTCAAGTACTTCTAGCGTAGGTAAGACGCATAGTCTGAACATACTAAAAACTGGAGTCTTTTTTTACAGTTGTAAAGTCAAACGGCAGTAGGGCTGCTATTGGAGCTTAAAGAAATTTTCTCAATTCGATTTTTGAACTGCCTAAGATTAGAAGAATTGAGAAAAGCCTCCTCAGATAGATTGTTCCACAATCTCGATACTCTAAGGACCGTATCGGACAGTTGTGGTTGTACAAAGTTCGACACGGTTAGGATGGGAAGCCAAAGTCATTTGGCACGGGTATTACTATTATTATTAGTATTTTGAAAAGTGACATGTCGATTTTTTTTGACCTTGTATTGTTTTTTACACTATGTAGATTTTTCTACAAGCTGTTAACTTAGCACTATCTGATGGACACGTTGTGAACACGTTTTGTAGTTGTACGTGTTGCCTAAACGTCATGAGGCTTCAGTTATCAATGTTTGGCTCTGATGCGATGTAAAATCTGCTTCAGAGATGGCATTACTGGAGGTCTAAGCTGTAAGTTGTAATTGTCCTCAATGTTTTTGAAAACACAAAAAACGTAAAAAAATCGAAATTTATAACTTTGAACATAATCTGTCTTCAGAAAGGACAACATATAAGTAACCCGTCGGGCACAGCTAATAGGTATACTTCATTGGCAGCATATTCAGTAATAATTTTCTCACATAGCAAAATTCACTGATTTTATACACATGCAGACCAATACACGCTAGATGCGATCTTCCTATTCAACCAACTTTCTTCTCAGAGGTGAAAACTACAGACTACTCAGCTTCACAAAACATATGCAACCAACAATGCGTGTAGTTTCCGCCATAGACGTACGCTCACAACGATCCTATTGAGCAAACGTGGAACAACTGTTTGCACCCTAAAAGCTACCTAGTCTGCAAGATGACATTTATAGGTTTTTTTTTGACGTGTAATAGGTTTTTTACATAATATCCGTGCGGGTCTCTCTGGCAGGTACAACTTGCCGCGATACACATCACGGAGGAGAGCTCTGAGAAGCATAGCCCATTCTCATAGCGATAAAAGAGGTAGATCGTCGGCAGCCCTTCGCTGCGAAAGGGTTCCTAAACTCTGTTAGAGAAGAGTAATCGATCAGACGGACATGATAATATAGTCTGGGCGGCAGCACCCCAAATATGTGAGCAGTACTGGAGGCTAAGTCTTATCTGGGCCTTGCACAGAGTGAGGAGCAGCAGTGATGACCTCCAGGTCTCGTCAGAAAGGAAATCGCTGTTAGCCTTCCTTTTTCCAGCTCATCTGTATATTATCGAAATGCTGAATCAGTATAATAAATAAGTACAAAGTATCACCTATTATTGTAAGAGTTCATTGTCTGGCCGAATGAAATGCGTCGTTCAAGTCCTATGAATAAGAAAACCACATGATGAGTTTCAGGAGTTACTGTCTATCCTGACTCACGTACCTAAATAACTGAAAGGTTATCTTATTAAAAGTATCACTTGAATAATAATGCGCCTTTTCGTTTCCAGGTAAGAAAGAGCCAGCAGCAGCTATGAGATTGCCTCCTCGCCGACCCCAGAGCAGGTCGAGCAGCCCGTTGAAGAGCGACAGCAGCCGAACTAGCTCGCCCAGGAAATTGCACGACAGCATCAACGGCAGCGCGATGACCTCGCCGGTGAAGACGACCTCGACCTTATCGATGGTGAGGACACCGCCGCCGTTGAAAGATGCCACGATAGCGTCACGAAGAAGAGTGAGGGAAATAACGACAACATCGCATCAGACGTTGACGCAACAACAGAAGGCGGGGAACGGCGGCGTGGCAACGTTGCAGCATCAGCACAAAATGCCATCGTCGCGAAAGGAACCTATTGTCGCTAGTGGTAAACAGGAAGAGAAAGAACAAGAGCAGCAGCAATCAAAGCCTACTCCGTTACTACAGCGATCGAGCACGTTCCTTAAAGACGAACCGACCGTTCTGGGAAAGGTTGTCTGAACAAAATGACATTATATTCCAGTAGTTTTAAGTTTTTATGCAAGTGGGATAGACAATGATCCGTAATAACGATATATTTATACAGGTTGTACGAGGCATTTCGATTTTAGAATAGCTGCCCAAAACGGACTGCCATTCCCGCTTATCATTTTTAAGTTTATCATTTGTTGTAGGCTGTGATAGAAATGAAGAATCGGGTAATTTTGTAGTTGGTTTTACAATGTCTGTAGTTCCATAAGCATGACTAAAATGCAAAGTGATAAAAGAGTTGAAAAAAGCTCTCTGTAACTCTCTCTGTCAAATCGTACTGTATCATTTCTATAACAGCTTAGTGAACATTCCTAGTCTACATCATATGATTTTTGATCTCATTTTACATTCGTAAAATTGTGATAGTTGTTTTTAAGCCTGATTTTTTAATATGACTCTACTAAAACCTCCACATTCCAACATTGTATATGATAATCTATATTCACAGTGTCCCATTTTAATCTACCTATCTAAATATTTCGAAAACTGCACAGAGAAAATAGATTGAAACAAAAGTTGTAGTTTCGATCTTGATCACGACCTTCAAAGTCATTTAAGGTCAAGTGAAAATTTTCAAATGAAACCCCTTCTTTTCAAATAAGAACAAATCGTATGTAAAAGCATCACCTTGACCATTACCTTTAAATCAAGACATCGAAAATAATTTTCTCTAGCAAAAATGTTCAACAGTACAATTGAAGGTTTGTAGGGATCACCCAAAGATGAATTTGAGCACGGTCTTCACCTACTACAAGGTTAAGTCAAAATCTCCAAAGGAAATCTCTCGTTTTTATAAGGAATTGGAAAAACCAGAAAATATTACGTCCGAATGTGACCTCAAAAAACACTAATTTGACTTTGACGTCAAGGTCACATTCAGACGTAAAATTTCTTGCTTTTTCCATATACAGTATAAAAAAGAGGTTTCCACTGGAAGTCACGACTTGACCTTGAGGGCCAAGAACACTTGGGTGATCTCCACAAACCTCACAACTGCACTGTCGTTCTTTGCTAATGCAAATTGTTTTTGATGTCTTGATTTAATCGTAAGATTTGCTCCTCTTTTCTGTTTGTGTGAAAAAGGCGAGGTTCAATTTACAAATTAATGTCGACTTGATTTTGTAGGTCGTTGTCAAGGTCACCATCATTTTGTCCCTTCAACACCCCACAACTTTTGCTTGAAGCTTTGCTTTCTCAGATGCACAGTTTTCAATATATTTAGGTGGCGAGATTAAAATAGGGCACCGGTAAATTACAAATTAACACACCATTTTCACATAAACAAGAAATGGGTGCTTTATTTACATAATTAAATCAGTGTTTTATAGTCGGTTTTACGTTTTAGTAAGAACGTACCCAATGTTGTTGAAATTTAGTATCACCATATTTTTTGCTATTTATTGCTACTTGGCTATTCTATTTTAACGCATCCATGTCTAGGTATACGTATTTATTTGTATATATATATATATATATTATAACAGTTGTCTCGCATATATAAATTGTATGTATCAATTCAATATTAATTATTAGTGATAGAAGTGTCTTCATTCTTTGTCGAGTTCTCTCTCAAATTTTTGTGCCTAAACTTGTAGAAACGGGTTGATCTTTCATTCGATTTTAAATAAAGGTTTCATCCTATGCAACTAAAATGTGTTTTTTTTCCATATACATTATTTTTTACAAATTTGTGATTGCGCCGACTAATACACAGCATCGAAAACTTTGCTTCAATTAGCATTAATATTACTTTTAATTCATCAAAACAAAATTCTGAACACCACACGAAAATAACCAAGAATGAACAATAAAACGGAGTTTTTAAATGTTTAACTACCACCAAGTAGCTTACACTCATTAAAAAATCAAAGTACTTTGGAAAATATATTTATTTACAAACAACGTAAAAGAACATGAGCTCATTGTACAGCTTTCGGCGCCTCCCGTTCTGCGAGTATTGCTCCTGTATCTTTGAGAAGTTTTTTCTTGCTCTCAAAGTAGTCCTTGTACCATAGGATGTGCTCAATTTTGGCATCAACAGTTAAATATGCATTTTTTGATAGACCCACACATACCAGTTCCATGAAATGTCTCAGTGGGCCTTTAGCAGGGCACCAGGGCTCCAGGTGCTCTTCTAAAAATACATGCTTCGAAAAATCCACCTTCTTTTCTTCATCCAAACCTGAAATAACCATATAAACAGGGTAAACTATTTTCAAACCTCTGACAAATTAATTGATGTACAAAACACATTATACAAAGTATCTGAAATACAAGATACTTTAAAGTTAGGTATTTCAGAAACAAAATTTGTGAGAAAAATTTTATTGACCTATTATTTTTTATTACATGAATAAATTGAGTTAATCGCAAAAATGTTTCAAAATATACTCTTCAGGTTTTAAATAAGATATGTTTTCAAACATTTTCTTACTTTTTTCACTGACGAGTCATTATCCACCCCTATCAGAAATGTTGGTCCACAGACGCAAATAGGTGTTAAATTTGAAAAATCTTTTTTGTAGAACAAATATTAAGCTCTTTAAACTGGCATTGTTATTACGAGTACAATTTAGATATTGCAGCATTTCCAAGTCATCAGTGCTGTCAGTAGATGATATGTTTACACTGCTTTGGCTACTTGCAATACAGGAATCTGCCCTTTAAGAATGTGTAATAAGATTATCCTTTGTCTTGTTTATATCACTTCCAATATTGTCTAAAGCCTCCGTTTTTCCACAGATTACTTATTTTTTCTAGGACTCCTTTTTTTGGCTGTTAAATCAAACCACACATTGTCATTGTACTTGAAAATGGCCACTATGTTGGCTAAAACATCAAGTATATTTGCTTTGATTTAGCGGCCACATAATGAAGTTCTATGAACATGAAAACCACAGGATAAGTTTGGCGTGTTGCATTAGGATGAGCTGTTTAACATATTTCTTTTGCTCTCTAGCATCATTTCATTTTACAGGCAGATATAACTTTTTGAAACATCTATTTACATTTTCTTTAATGACAGCTAGCAAAGAGCTGCAGTACTTTAGATTTTCCATCATAAGATATTTGACATGTTGAGTTCTTATTAGTTCAGGTAACAGACAATCATGTGCCTTCATCCCCTTGCAGGCTTTGAATAGCTTCTACTTTTAGCTTTGAACACTATTATTATTACTATTATTAAAAATAAAATTTAAAAAAGTATTTTAGGTAGAAGATGGATATACATATTTTGTATTGTGTATCTGTATCTCGGATAATTGCATCTTAAATAAGTCTCTGTTAATTTTGAGAGTTTAGAATCTGTCCACAATTTTCATAATGAAACATTATCAATGTACACTCGCTTTGAATTTATTACATACATACATTTTTTTTTAATACCTACCTTGTTCATTGTCAATGGGGAATTTCCACAGTTTTTCCTGTTCAGTCCACAACATCAGTTGCTGGAAATAGTTTGATGGTGGATGCGTGACTGCTAATTTCAAATCCCTTTCATATAGCCTTTGCCATGTTTTGGTTTGTGTAACCTCTGTTAATTCAGATTTGTTTGTGAAAATGTTCAGAGCTTCACCACCGAACAAATCAATTTTTTGCACCACTCTACAATGAAAATATTATAAACCATAATATTCTTAATAGGTAAGCTACACAGCTCTACTATATTCATATATGGAATTTTAATTTCACAATGAATTTTATATATTTCCAGGAACAAACAAACTCAGTTTTGAATCCCCTTGGTTGGTGCTCACCACCCTAAATTAAAAAAAAGCTATACTCAACATTTCTTTTTTTTGTTGGATATGTTGTGGGAGCCTCTTCATTCTTCTTTCTGGCTGAGGACCTTCTTTCGATATTCTACTTTTTGCTGTTTGTAAAATGCTTCTAACTTGTTCAGCCCGACTTTTCTCTGCTGTTTTTGTTTCCCTATCTATCCTCATTCCTTTCATGATATCCCTGAAATACAGGATGTAAAACATGTATTTTCATCTTGTATCTAGGATATTTTTTTAAAAATATATTTGTGTCTTGTACCTTTCATGTGGTATCTTAGTTTGTTTGCTAAAATACTTTTAGTAATTGTTATATTATTTCTTTACACAGAGCCTACTGGCAGCAGAAACACTTTATATATATATATATATAAATACCTAAGCTTTAAGAGCTCAAATGTTCATCCTACAATCAAAGAAATATTTTTCAAGGATAACAACTTTTTAATAAGTTCTGCCCTTGTGGAGTGATTCTCCTTTTGACAGTATGATAATAAGACCTCATCAAAGAGAAAAGAGAGATAAAATGTTTGAAGAATTGATTCTATTTGTCTAAATTAAAACCTTGAAAGTATGATATTTGGTATTTGTGATACCATTCCAGAAAGTATTTTGAATCTGCTATTAGAAATACTTATTTTAAAAGAATATTGTATTTTGTATTCCAGATAGTTTGTATAGGGTATCTTGTATTGTACCTCACTGATGGTCTTTGTTAAACCACAACTTAATAGGTACATAAAATTACCAATAACTTCCCCAAATATTGTATTCTGGGTAGACATGGGTATACTCACATCAAATTTGTTGCAGATGTAGGAGATGTTTCTGGATTTAGCAATTTCATTAATAATTCTGACTCAGTCTGTTTGGTATCACCTCCTAAGTCAGTAGCTACATCTTTTACTGCCTTCACCATTTCCTTTTCTAGAAAATTATAATACTTTTAACACGTTCGCGGACACTCTATGTGGCTAGTGTCTGCCGAATGAGGCACTCACGCTATAAGCCGCACTAGTCAGTGTGCCTATTGGGACAGTGACGGCACTTGCCGTCAACTACAATTAGTGCTCTAACTTCATTTTGCTGTATATCACGTCAATTCTGCGTATATTAGGAGGTTAGGTGTCCTGCTGGACACCTACTGCCAAATAATAAGTGTAGTAGATTTTTTTTAAGAGGGGAGGGGTTCATCTTCGGACATCGGTAGTCATACGTATGACGTGTTGGCAGTATGAGTCTGTTCGTTATCGAGAGCGGATGTATGCATTCGAGCTACAGCAAAATGGACGATAAATATAGATAGCAGTGGATGCGCTGGTATGAAGAGTGTGAGAGCGAAGATGAAAGCAGACATGATCCATATAGTACAGATGACTCCATTGCGTATCCAGAATATATGCAACAGGACTCAGACTCTTGCACTGATTCAGAATACGAGAATATTCCAAACGATGATGAGCGTAAGTTCATGCGCATTTTTCCCATACACATTAGTTACGTTTATTTGTAAATTTTAGCTGGAAGATCACGAAAAAAGCGTAAACGGAAAGAACCTAAATCAAAAGTTGGTTTGCCGTCAGGACATATCGATAGCGAGGACTCTGATGATATCGATGTTCTATTAGATCCAGACAACGATGAACAAAAATGGGTGGGAAGATAACATAATCGATTGTTTAGAGTTTTCCTTTGATTCCATGTCAGTTGGTGTAAAAGAACAGCTAGCAGGCAAGCCTCCAATTGAGGTTTTTGAAAAAATTTGGACTGTGGATGTGACTAATTACATTGTTCAAAAGTCAAATAAATATGGTGAATTATTATTTGTGGGCAATAGACCTAAGTCCAGAAACGAGCGATTCAAGACATTTCAACATATTTCCGTAAAAGAAATGAAAGGTTTTCTCGGTTTGTGTCTCCTTGCTGGCCAGTTGAAGTTCAAGTCTATTAGGGACATGTTTTCAATGGATCCATCCTCTCAATTATTATCCGATATTCCCGGCTACTATGTCAGGTAGACGATTTGAACAGATTCTGAGGTGCTTGAATTGTGCAGATGATGAAAATAAGGAGGATAATCTCTATAAAGTTAGTTGGCTTGTGAAATCTATCATTAAGTCAAGCCAAAATATGTTTTCTCCACCAGAAGCCTCATCTCTAGATGAATCACTGTTACTTTTCCGAGGCCGATTACGGTTTCGGGTTTACATAAAAGACAAAAAAAGTAAATATGGGATTAAGTTCTATGAGCTGTGTTCCAATGACGGATATGTCCTAAATATAGAAATTCATAAAGGTAAATCTAATAGAGAAGATGCCAGGAGCAGTTCTAAAATAAATCCTTTAGTTCTTAGGCTTCTGGAGCCATTTCTAGATAAAGGCCACCATATATACATGGATAACTTTTATAACAGTGTCCAGTTATCGGAAATCCTATTGCAAAGGAAAACTCACAGCACGGGGACATTACGCATCCCAAAGAGGTTACTGGAGCCAAGTTGAAATCCAGGCAGCATATTTGGAGAAGAAAGGGAAATGTGTATGTTTCCAAATCGCGCGACAAACGTGATGTATTATCCATCACGACGGGTTATAAGCCTGAATTGGTTGAAACTGCCAACAGGTATGGTCATAAAAAAACCAAGCCTTTAATGGTCAGTCGCTATAATAACAATATGTCAGATATTGATCGTGCAGATCAAATGATTAGCTATTATTCATGTCCTAGAAAAACAATCAGGTGGCATATTTCATCTTCTTGATATAGCTGGAATTCCCATTATTTATATAATCATAGCCAGAAAGATAACAAGATGTTCAAAGAGTTCCGAAATGATTTAATAAAATCCTTACTTGGGATCTCTCCGGATCAGAGAGATGGAAGGGAATTTGTCAACTTGATGAAAAAAACAAAGTCTATGCCATCCAAAAAAAGTAGAGAAGATTTGGGCCACGTTTTGGAGACTATACCTGTGCCAGAAAACAAAAAAGGCAAATAAAAGATTTACAAATGCTGTGAACAGTGCCACCTAGAACAAAGGAGGAAGGAGACTGCATGGAAATGCCGTGATTGTATAGGAAAACCATCTCATTGTGTGAATGTTTTCAGGTTTGGCATAAAGCTTTATCGCTAATATTGAAAGCTCCTAAGTATTTATTTTGCTGTTTGACAATGAATAAAATTTAAGGAATATGTATTTATTTTGCGTTTGTACACATACTTGTTCATAATAAAACTTGTTTCTGTACTGCTATGGTTATTGTTCATGACTTCAATAGAAAACAGGTAATTTAAATGAGTTAAACAAGCGTAGGTGCACATGACGTCATATCACGCATGATTTTTTTTCATCATATCTGCATGTGTGATAAATTCCTGTTTGAATGCTATTTGATTCATTTTTCTATGTTTGATATGAAATAATTTATCAACGTGACATTTTGAGCACACCTCAACATTTCTCAGTGCCCCGCTAGAAAATAGTTCATTGACGTGACATGCCGTCAGTGTCCGCGAACGTGTTAATATCACTAAAATCTATATTGAAACTGTGACATAAGTATTTTGGAAAATAGTGTGTAAAAACAACAGTTGTAATATTTAATACCATTACCTGCAGTTTCAGTTTTTGTAGTTACATCATTTGTGTCTAACTCTTTTTTAAATTCTCTACCCTTCGGTTTAGCCAATTCCAGTTTTGCGGTTTTACCAGGAGCATTACTCTGGAAAAAGTATCGCATTGATTAACTTAAGATTCCACAATTCGTGAAATTAGACAAACTTACCTGAATGAGATCTTGTAACAAAGTGTTCAATCGTTCTAACTTTTGTTCATTTGAGGGTTTGGCATCTTTCGTATTATCACTGTCAGAGCTACTCGAACTACTGCTGCTGCTACTTGAGGAAGTATCTTCTGGCTTTGAGCTCTTAGCACAAACTCTTAAATAGTTACTACTTCTAGGGAGCACTGCCCTTTTCAACGCTAACGTATACCTGAAAGTGGATATACGTATTTATGGTATTCATGATTCTGAATTGAGGGCGTCCATAGATTTTTCTTACATGTTTGAGTATTAAAACAAAACTATTATTCCAACATATTCCAAGTTATTTTTAATATTGTGGATTGTTTGAGGTTATTCGGGTACGACCACAAAACATATACGTCAGATGACAGATGTCATAAATCAAATCCAAGCGGATAACCAAAATTTCCGTATTATGTACCGCGGTTATAATATGGTTCAAGATGACACACGGGATGGTGACGTCAGTTACTCGAATCGCTTGAATGCGTTGGTTTTAACCGCGGTTTTGTTGCAAGTTGTTTATTTTAGAAAAGCGCGTATATAATCTCTGATTATTTTTATTATCGCTTAATAATCGGTGCTTTTTCGTCTACAACTGTATATGGAAAGTTTAAATAAGAAACCTTTCATAATATTCATGGGAGACATGTTTTTTTCAGATTTTTTTTTAATGATGGAACCATGGCTTTGTAGCTATGATAACTTTCAATTCTCTAAATTTTTCCGCATGTCAAAGAAAACATTTATTGATTCAGCAGAAATGATGATAAAAGAAATTAGCAAAACCGTATACAGGTGGATATCATCTAGTGAGTTTATATGGCCATAATTTAATATTCTTGTGGTTTATGGCTACACAGGATACTTTGTTAAGCATAGGAACTACATTTAAAGTGTCCCCAACAACCGTAATGAGTATAACTAATAAGGTGCTCCACATTATGGTAAAACTGAAGTCAGCCTGTATCAATTTTCTCAAAAATGAAGCTGAAGTACAATAACAATATCCAATACCCGGCAAAATTCTAACTTGTCACATTTCAAATAATAACCAGAAATATAAAACTACTCTTGAGTTGGGTAAATACCACAATTTTGCGGTGATAACTATGACATATAACAGCTGATTCGTGACGTCACGGATCTTATAACCAAACTGATAACTACAATCGCTTGAACGGATTGGTAAATACCAAGCCAAAATGGTAAATACCATTTCCATTTGGTTATCCGCTTGAATTTGATTATATACACTGGATATATGAAGAACACAACTGAAGAAGCTTTAATTTCATGCTATTCAATGGAAACGCGGCTGACTTATGTCAGCGGCCATTTTGGAGGGTGCGCCATGGTTGCCAGATTGCTGTTCATGCTGTGTAACATTGCCAGCTCAACATTTAAATACGAGATTCTTACACAAACCATATCCGTATATTATACTTACAGTAATTACAGTATTCAGTGGCAGGCGACTGTCGTAAAAAGTCTAAAAAGCTGAAGATATCTTTTTATAGGCGTAAGTTTCCATATATTTGGAATTACAAATCAAAGCACACTTCAAGCAGTCGTGTAAAATGTATAATTCTTTAGAATATTTCGTTATTTTTAATCGGTAAAACTTAACCCAATCTTTTGAGGACTCTCACTCAGTTTAGATAGAATCTCAACAGTTGGCACCATCATTACTTTCAATAATTGAATAATCCAATCTACCTACTTATGCCATCAATTTTGAAACTTTTGTGTCTGCAAATTTGGATAGTGAATCTTTTCACTCCATAATAAGGTTGCTTGATCAAAATAATTCTAGCCAGTTTCTGCCGTGCAATAAAGTATAAACTGACTGTAACAATGACAGAGGTAATAATAAAATGACGTAAAGCATGACTCTGTACTTCCCACGCAGTTCTGGAAAAATGCACTTTGTATATGGGCCAAAACTAAAAATCTGCGCCCTGGTTCGGCGAGTCATATCTCAGATCGGGCTCAACATGTTTTCCTAGAGAGTATACCTATGGAGTTATGAGGATTTGTGAAATTTCAGGGCCCTAGGTCGAACGGTTTTGGTCTGGACATGCTCAACGATTGAAGATTAGGCAAAAATGTTAATTATAACGTATTCTTTTCTATTTTCTCACTACTCCTATCATTAGAAGGCACTATGCCCCATAATACGCATGACTATTTTGAAGAAAAATTGACCAGGGAATTAAAAAAGTGCGATATGATAACTCGTTCGGCAGATATTTCAGTCTAAAGTGATTTTTTCAGTTTTGGTTTATTGGGCGATGAATTCTAATACCTTCCAAAACGAAAAATTCACAAAATATTTTTTTTCGTAAAGGAGATTCTACCTATATATAAATGGAATATTGTTCTGGGGCCTTTAAATTGGTTGGGTAGGATCACATTATCGATATGTACCTGGCACGAAACGAACGCGAAAGATAATTTGTTGCAGCGATGCCACGCAGATGTAGAAAGGGACAAAGTTGCTACATGGTTGGTAACTATGACCAGTAGAACAGAGAAAGCATGTCTATGGACTAATTGTATGGGTCTGTTTAACAGACGTTTAATTTCTCTGTTGTACATCACGTAACTCACTTTTTTCTCAGAGGATTTCACTTGCGCAGAACTTAAAATCATTTATGACGGAGTTGCGTAGAAAGTGCAAAGTCACCCAACTTGGCTCCATTTTTTCAATGGCAAAAGTGGATGGAAAATTTATAAGTTAAAATTTTCATTAAAAATTCATTATTTTGATTTGGAAACTTTTAATATCTGTCATTTTGATATTATAAATTTGAAAAAAAAATCCGCTAAGATGAACCGAACACTACCTCATATGTAAAAATTCATCAAGCCCGCTAAATAAAATTTCATGTCTATACGTATATACATACATTCCCACGCGCCAAGAACATCCTCCTTCTGAGACATTTGTATAAAAAACGGTAGTTGACTTGTTTTCACATATCGCGGTTGTCCGCACAAAACACATAACTGTTCTTACTATGATGTAATGGTCTGTTAAAGTGGCTACACCACACGGCAACATTGCGGATATTGCGCTCCCTCACGGCCAACACGCAAACTCAATTGTGGCGCGAACGCGTATGCCGCAAATGAAAAGTAGGGAAGTGAAATTTTTTCCAAATTATTTTGAGGATTATTTCTTTTAACTTTTTGGTCGCGTTTTGTGATTCTTCTTGCGAATTCTTAAGCATCGTTGTGACATGTGTATGTGAGTGATTTTTTTGTCTTTGCATGGTTTTTTGATTATCTAAGACATTAGCCTGATTATAATTGAGTGATTTATGCTTATAAAATCATTACTCCTTGATATGTCGAATGTTCATGGTGGTAGTATCAAGGTTTTTGAATATTTTCTCTGCTCTGGGGGCTCTTACATGGAGTCGTGTTCTGTGGCAACTAGGCGTGTATAATTACTTTGGTCATATTTATGTTTATTAATATACAAAACTGAGTAGCTACAACGATCAAAAGTGCCGAGTAACAAGTCACAAACAAACGCGTATGAGAGATTCCAAGAACAAGAGGTAGCCGGCATCTGTGACGGGAACAGGCTGATGCGGAGGTAGGGAAATTTTTTGCAAATCCATCGGAAAGATCTGCATTTCATCGTAACTAAACTGACTGAAAGATATGAAGGATTTCCCCACGTGCTCTGTATCGTGCGAGGACACTCCACTATCATCCGCTCTCCTATTATTTTGGCGAAAAAGCACAAAAGCCTGCTGCTACTGTTTTTTCAGTGTGTACAGAACCAGCCACAGTTTTATCACATTTAGCGACAGCTCCCATACTTGAAATATGGGATGCCTAATAGTTTACGAGTATTCCTCATCTTTCAGACTCAAATGCCTGTATGAACATCGTATTGTGTATCACCACGTTAATCTATGCCATTATTTAATAATATGTAGAGACGGATTTTTTTTAATACCGAATCAGCCGCGCAGGTAAAAGACTACTGCGGCTACTAGGAGGATCCCAAAGAAAAATTCTTAATCCGATTTTTGAACTGCCTAAAAGGTTAGTAGAACTGGGAAAAGCCGTTTCTTGTAGATTGTTCCACAATCTTGACACCCTCGGGACAAAGGAGCGGACATATCGGTCAGTTCTGTACGTACGAAGTTCGACACACGTTTAGGATGGCAGGCACATCGCGCGGCGGCATCGTGCGAGGAGAGCTCTGAGGAGCAAAGCCCAATGGTATAGCGGTAGAAAAGAGCTAGATCGCCGAGGGTCCGCCGGTGCGAAAGGGTCCCGAGACTGTGAGAGACGGGTCATCGAATAGTCGGGCAGCCCTCCTCTCGACAGCATCGAGCATAAATAATGTATATAGTCGGGGCGCACCTCAAACGTGTGAGCAATACTCGATGATAGTTTTATCTGAGCCTTGTATAGAGTGAGGAGGTCATGGGGAGAAAAGTACTTCTCTTCTTAGCCCTAAACAAATAGCCTAGCTTTCTCCCAGCAGTTGCCGCTATTCACGAGATGTGTTCGTGCCAGATCAAGTCCTCAGTGATCTGGACTCCGACCAGCCGAAATAAACGGCTCTTTGGCAGGACTCGGCCATCCATCGAAACCGCATGAGCACTAGGACGCTTTTTGTTTATCGAGGTACAGTACTCTGTTTTGGTAGCATTAAACTGTACAAGATTGTTGCGTCCCCAAGCAGTGATAACCTCCAGGTCTCTCGTCAGAGAGGAAGTCGTCGTTAGCCTTCTTTTTTCCAGCTCACCTGCAGAGATAGGCTTGTCGCTCTTAATTCCTGCATGTAGAGGGCTGTGATCAGCAAAGCTGTGGATTAGGTTGATCGAACAAGAAAGGAGGTCGTTGATATGTAAGTGGAACAGTGTCGGAGCCAGGGGAACATCCGCGTTGACTTTGTGGTATGAAGAGGAGAATTCGTCAATTACCCATCTGCAACTTTTCTGGGAGGCCATAGGATGGAACTTTGCATAATAGGGCAGCGTGCCACAGCTGATCGAACGCTTTCGTGATATCAAGAGCAACGACATGAGCCTCACCACAAGACTGGATGAGTACTCTACAATTGTGTGACGTAGGCTAGGAGGTTCCCCAGTAGATCGCTGGTGCCAGAAATCATACTAACTGTCGCTAATCTAGCCGTGACGTTCGAGGTAGTCCAGAAGCTCGCGATTTATGCAACTTTTCATCACCTTACTTAGATAACAGAAAGCAGAGGTATGGGCTAAATAACATTTTTAGAGCATTTAAAATTTAAACTCTTTGAGGAAACTAGCTGGACCCGCCCTTGATTTTAAGACGGTGTGCTGGATACCGAATAAAGGAGAAAAACTTCTAAAGCGTGTCTTATTTCAAACTTAAATCATCAACTATAAATCTTAAGAATAAAATTTGTCTTCTCTATGTGTCCAAAGGATTTACTACCATTTATCTTGATTAAAAGTACAAAAAATATCTCCGTCTGTATGCTTTTATAGAGTACAAGGTATACGAAGTTATATGTATACCGTTATCCAAAAGTACAATAGCGTTTAAAACACAGTTTAACACATTTTGAACCAACGAACTTGGTATAACAGCTACAAATACCTGAAATGCGTATCAAGTACTGAGAATCTATTTTGCTCCATTTTTTGTAGTGAACTTTATATCGGTACGTTTACAAATTATTATGATTTGCTATGAACTGCTGCGCAGTACTTACGTGGACGCCCGTAGAGGGGATTATAGGCAAGAGATACATTTTTGTGGAAGCGCACCTGACCCCATAACTTTTTGAAGAGCGGGGAGTAACAATTTTGATCAGGGTGAAGCCAAATCCAAAAATTTTCCAAAATTATACACAAAATCACGATAAAAATGTAAATTTTACGAAATATTTTGTATGTGCATATGTTATAGAAGCGTTGTCAGGTAAGAAAAACTATTGAGACAATTTTCACTTTCGCTACAAGTGTGCATCTCTTCTCTTGATAGCAAGGAGGGGCTAGACTGCGATGATTACCATAAAAGAAGCTCCCCGCGACTGTCCCGCGAAATTGCAAGGGTCGCGGTAGCGGCTTCTCTCGGCACTTACAATTGTTCCTTTATTATGAATATGCATTACACTCGGTAGTTTTGTTTCTTTTTAATGGTTGCCACTTAAAAGTGCCGGATTTTAGTAGTTCCTCCTCCATGTCTGTCATATCGTCTGGAAAGTTCTCGTTAAAAACAAAAGACCGACAATAATTACTCTTTATTGTGAAATATGTGTTCATAACAGACTGCAATGAAATAATCTACAAGAAATAAAAAATACGTTCTCATATTTCATTACAATTCATGTTGTAGATTGGAAAATATGGTTATTGGAGGATTTTTTCTCCTTTTACTTCCCATGCCTACTGGCGGGAAAGTATTGTGATCCTGAAAATTTTCGAAAATGAGATATTGTTTTTTGGATGTTATATGCCAGGTACAACATGAAAAACCATGTCACTCATTTCCGTCTGTCTGTCTGTTCGTCTGTCCAGTAATCTTATAACCGCCTTTAACTTGAGAAGTAGCGCTCGGATTTTGATGAAACTTTTACACAATGTTACTATGCCTAGGACTCATAAGCTTTTTTAGTTTTTGTAGTCCAGTGGCGGCAGAGAAAAAGCCCTACAGCTAAAAAGTTATAAACGTTCAAAATTCCTGATCCTGAACATTTTTGAAGAAAGTTTTAGAGGTAAGAAAGCTTTGGGGTGAGAGTTTATCTCGATTTTTTGATGCTGGTACAGTTATACGCTCTCAACATTGTTAATTCTACGCAGCTATTAGACTTTTCACACATCATAGATTTCTCTGAACACTATTTTCTGGAGACGGATCGCGTACCTATCGGCCGCGGTTGCTGCTGGAGTCGTGCGCCGCCCGTGATGTCTGATCTGGTATGGAATTAGACGTATTTCTGCCGTGCAACAGCATAGTGTTTTCTATGCTCTGACCGCTATACCACGATGCCTCGTCTACCCGAGCTAGGTATGCAGGAGAGGCGACGTTTCCAGATGCACCACCTTTAGGCAGGAAAAGAATGTCTATGCACTAATTGTCCTGTTTGACTGATTTTTTTCTCATAGGGTATATTTTGTGCTGAACATATTCCCACTCGACGCCACTTTTTTTATTTAGACGAGCGACGTAGCAGCTTCGATCCTGACTGTTATTTACGAAAAATTGCACGTCGACCAGGACCAGGAGAGTTCAGGAATCAGGATTCTGGATCTTATTTATTTTAGAGCGTATCAGTGGGAGGAGCAACAGTTCAGTGTCCGCTGGGAATTCCTCATTAAGATGGGATCGTAAATTTGTATTTGGTTGGTGTGTTGCGTTGTTATTACGGAGATAAAGGTGAGAGCCGCCACACGCCATTGCGCCACACGACAACATTTCATTCTTGTCAGACATCTCCTACCCAATGCAGCATCGGCGATCCGCAGTCAAGGCAGGGGTGATTCGCTAGAAGATAAGGGACTGTAAAACAATGGCGAATACGGCCGACTGGGGAACAACGTAATTAATTCTTTATCTGCTCAGCCGTGCATGCGTAATTCTATATTTACGGCGATTTTCCTGGGCCTCGCCGAATTGCGTTGTGTTTTGATTGTATCTCAGTCTCAGTTATTGTAAATACTACTTGGCAACACGTTTCGGGTAACAAACGAAAAAAAATGTTTAAATAGAAATTGCTGTGAAGATCGCGTTCACTTTTAGACTTAAAGTCTAATATCCGTAGCCTTTTTAGCCTGTCCATTAAAACTACATGAGGTATTATACGAAACGAGAATAGCTTATTCAGTTCACTGGTTATACTCCTCAATATTTGCTACATCCAACGTGTCAATATAAGTTATAAAGAGTTGAATGCTAAATAAACTGCGTCCTAAGTAGTCTACTAATACCAAGTATATTCACATTCGTCTGTCATCTGTACTCAGAACACTGTTAGCTGGAAGATAGAGTTTCCTTATTTGCAGTCTATTATCGACTAATAGAGTCGAAAAGATTCTCTATATTCCTTCTTCTCTAACTACATTTTATGTCACATTCATTTATGTGTGCCTTCTCGATAAAACGTATTTAAGAGAAATATTTAATTCGCAGTCCTGTTACGAGTATAAACTCGAATTTGTTTACTACACGTTGCAGCCCATTTCTTGCAGATTCAAATATGTTATGATGCACCCTAACATTGTAATCTCTATTTATAAATTGAAACACAAATTACAGATTTTAGTATAAATAGGTATTCAGATGCAAGACACTAAATATAGAGTCCAAACAATTTGTTTTTATTTTCAGTTAAAGAAACATTCTTTAATCAATATAAAAATGAGCAAAAGGAGAGAATGAAAGAAAGTCTGACTGTACAGTGTCCCACTACAGTAAGAATGTGCTGAAGTTGAATATGTACTTGCAAACCCTCCCAAACTCCCCATCCTAACGGTTATTGGTACCACTTATGTATGAATAAAGGCAAAGGATGTGGTAGCAAGCACTAAGAATAGTACCTACTTCCTACCTCACTGCATGCCTTTATTGAAACCAAAGACAACAGTTGTACATACACTCACTTCATCAATTTTGTTCAATACTTATTTATGCATAAATAGTCCCTAACCGCTAGATCTGATAAGATGGAATATTTTAATCAAGGTAATTACTGACGTAGGTATCACTGGTTGCCTATGCCTGACCATGGATGATTGCAGGATCATCTCGGTTACTGCAGACGCTACCCAATGCTAGCCGAGTGCCGCCGATGCGGGAATTTTTCAGAAATCCAATTCCAAGTTGCCGCGTTGTGGCAGGGTGTCGCTATTAGAAGCAGGTTTAATGAAAAGGAAAAATGCGTCATGTATAGGTTGACCCTGCACTTACCATGCAACACTGTCATCAGTTCATAAAGGATTATTTTCGGCACAGCTTTTATAACGACCGGATTCGTTTTCTGTCTTCGCTGCGCTTACTCGTCGGATAGGTATCTACCAAACAATATTGACTTGACACAGGTCATCTTCTATCATTCATTGAGTGTAAATTCTGTGTGAAATATTATCAATAGTTACAAGTGGAATTACCGGGGATATAAGCATTTATAAAATATACTAACGCCAAACAATTCATCTTCCATTACCCTCTGGAACGTCAAAAAAAAGTATCTACCATATGTAACGATTTTTACTATTCCCGTTTTTCGTCCATAGCTCCATCGCCACTGTATAAAATAATGTTCATTTAATAAATAACCCAGAAAACGGACTTCGTATATTTGTGTTTTTAAATTATTCCTTGTCAAATATCTGTATAATAGTCCAAAAATGATAATCGAATTCTTTCCCTGTACCCAGACCTTCAAGGTGGATTACATCTTTTCTCTGTGAGTCAATATTCAATTTATTAACATCTACGAGTATATCCTTTCAGGGTGACTTCATTCTACGGTTTTTTTAAATCGATTCTATTTAAATTTTTTGGGCTAACTTGACCAGACAATTACTCCCCAGCCAGTAACAGCACCATTTGTGATTACTAAACCGCCAGGCCAGTGGACCGTCAGCGCCTCCTTCCTTAGCGGTATACATATCTCGGGTTGGAAATCTTTCTAGCAGTAAATCTTGAGCGCAAATGTACGGGAAATTTTATTTGCGAAGTATGTGTGATAGATGCGTAGAATTGCCGTGGTTGAAAGTGTATTAATATAGGTATAACATCAAAAAATTGAGATTTTAGCGATTTTAATTTTTCTCATGTTTTGTCCGTCACGCCGCCGCCACTGGACCGATTTTCAAAAACTATAAAGCTTTTTCGCACTAGGCATACTAGCAATTTTGTGTTAAAAATTTTACTGAAATTCAAGTGGTACTTTCCAAGTTATAGACGTGTCAAGGATTCGCGGACAGACAGGCCGACAGACATCCAAAATACATAAAATATTCCATTATCGAAATTTTTCGTCATTACAATACTTCCTCCAATAGGCGGCGTGGGAAGTAAAAGGGTCTGAGTCTGATGCAATGATGTAAATATTCGAACTATGAAGTTATTACGTTATAAAACGCCGAGTATACATTCATAGAAATAACTATATTTGATATGATTCTGATTGGTGAATATCATCAATTTTCATTTACAGTGATATTTATACTCCCTACAATACTTAAATTGTATAAAGATTGTTATACAAGAGTTGTCACTTGTCACTATCGCAAACTAACACAAATAAAGAAGTTGAAACAGCCAAACCTTTATTGTAATTGTAGTCTAATCGTATTAGACGAAAATACCCCTGGTTGCGAACTAATTGTAAAGTCTGGTTTTATTGCTGCAAGTTGTTCAAGGGGGTATTTAAAACATGGACGCATAAAATGGGTACCCCAATTTTTGTGGGAAAATTTTTTATTCGACAACAAAGAATGAGAAAATGTGTTTTTTGGGATTCAATCTAAAGTGTTTTCAGGAACGAAAAAACTCTTCATATAAGACTTTAGCTATTCATGAGACCTACAAAATGAGACCAGACGTAAACAGGTCCGACTAATAGAAAAAAAATTATGGACGAAAACCGAGGCAAACTGCAGGTTTTGGCACTCGTTGGTAATGCGACGACGGTTTCTCGCAGATATTTCAAATTCGTAGGATTCGTACTTCTTAGTAACTACAACAAAATTTGAGTAGATTGATCAAGTAATTTTTGAGAATTTCGAATTGTTTATCCAAAAACAGCTGTTTTTCGGCCATCACTACTAGTTTATTGAGCAATATACCCTGTATATTGTTCAGTAAACTAGTAGTGATGTCCCGAAAACAGGTGTTTTTGGATAAACAATAAATTAGAGATTCTCAAAAAACTACTTGACCAATATAATCCAATTTTGTTGTTATTATTTAAAAGTATGAATCCTACGGATTTAGAAAAATTCAAGCAGTTGCGTGAAATTATTGTCGCATTACGAACAAGTGCCAAAGCCTGCATTTTGCCTCGTTTTTCGGCCATAACATTTTTGCTGTTAGTCGGATCTTTTTGCGTACGTCTGGTCTCATTTTGTAGGTCTCATAAATATCTAAAGATCTTATATAGAAAGTTTTTCCGTTTCTGTCAACACTTTCGATTGAATCCCAAAAAACACTTTTTCTCATTCTTTGTTGTCAAATAAAAAGTCGTCTCAGAAAAGTTGGAGTACCCATTTTATGCGTACATGTTTTAAATACCACCTTGAACAACTTGCACCAATAAAACCAGACTTCATAATTATTTTAGGGAAATATGATTAGACTATTGATCAAAGGAAAATTATAGACAACTCCTAGCATTGTGAGAATTCAATTTAGGCGTCGCGCCAGCCTTAACGAAAGCAGCAGAAATAGTTCATTAATCCCACTTAACCTTTTTCGTCTCCCCTCCTCTTCATATCCTTCCGTAGCGGCGGTAACAAAAGACGTCGTGCTTCCTCAGGCAATTTTATTCATAATAAGTCAAGGGCAATAATCACCCTTTCGAACGATGCGCCCGCTCGAGGTTGTGGCTCCCTTCTGACTTTCTTTCGCCTTACAAATAACTTGCTACGGCTTCAGTTCAGCTAGCGTAGCTGCCAACTGTGGGGCCTCTTTGCTTCATATTTTTCCTGTGCTTCTTCGAAAGGCGATCCTCAGAGGAGCCCGCAAGCGAAATTTGTTACCGTGTAAACATTGGGGCGCTCTCGACACCCTTTCACTTATTTTGGAGGGTCCCCCGCCCGCTTTATGTTTTACGAGCTGTTGTAAGACTGATATTGCTGACAGGGCAAGTTAAGTTACTTAAACAATAAATGATTTGTTGGATTGCATAAATAGCAACCCAGTGAACATGATGACGCCCATATGACGTCATTAATCGTTCACATTTTGGCGGAAATGTCATAGACTAAAAAATGACGTCTTTATGGACGCCAGTTTTATGACGACAACAAGGCGCCCTTTGAAAGGCTGTCATTTAACATGTCTTTATAGAACAGTCAGTGAAAAATCAACACTTATTTACAAAGAAAATATAGACTTTTAATGAACAGAAAGGTAAACTAGATGTCCAAATACTAACTACTTTTGTTATTTATAAAAAGTATCAGGAATTCTTCGACCAAGAATATCTTGTTAATATGTCGTTTCTAATAATAATATTCCATGTTTAGGTAGTTCAAATTGCTATCTTACATCATGTTTAGTTCTCGTAAATAACAAGTTTTTTAAAAACTCCTTTATATAACAGTAAACAAGTTTTTATATTAATGTTTGTAATCAAGCACGGTAGAAATTCAAATTTTGGAACGGTGTATCATTCAGTCAATTACAAACAAAGAAGCACGATTGTGCTTGGTGGTGAGTTCGAGCGATGTCCAAGTTCCATGCGTGTTCGCCGTTTGGCAGTGGTTTGGCCATCTTGTTCTATAAGTCTATGCGTTTGACCGTCATTACGGTGGCTTCGTCGTCTTTAACGTACATTGTGGTACAATTTAGTAGGGACGATAGTACGTATATTGCCACATAAGTCGTAGATGACACAAAGGCAACAAGAAGTGTTTTGGCAAAGCGATTTTGATAAATTGCTACAAACAATCTGAACCATCGGAGGACTGGAACGTGTTTGAGATCAAATTGTGTTTTTTAGTCCTTTGGTAACCACTTCGATATACTTTGTACAAATTCTTCTAAAAAGATGCGGAGGTAATAACGACGTCTCCGAAGGAGAGCATTCAAGAGAAGTAGGTAAATAGAATATGAGTTTCGCCGCCTTTCTACCACCCCTGACCTCACTGCTTGTGGGGCGTCGTTGTCACATTCTCAATTTTTCAGTAGCATTTGAATACACAGCCCGATTATTTTTGCGAGCGACTGTACGTAATATCGACGTCTCATAGAGGTAATATCGACCTAAGATAGACGTATTTGTATTTGTATTTGGCAAGTCATATATAGTATAAATTATTAGGTAAAACATAAAAAAAACAGCAAACATTACAACAGATAAAATGTATACTTACAAACACACCTACCCTTGCTAAAGCACCTAGAATTCGGCATTCAAATATTCGTGTATTGAGTAATTTCACACTATCCTTGAATTTATTATAATGTTCTATTTTTCTGATGTAAATAGGTAGTTTATTGAATAACATCACACAATTATAATATGGTGACTGCTTAAAGTGTGATGTGGTGTGATTTTGTACAGCTAGATGCTAGAAGATTGGTGTTTCTAGTCTATGAATGATAATACGGGGGATGTCTTTTAAGTTTTGCATAAGGAAATAAAACAACACGGTAGGTAGTTTTAAATGACTCTATTGTGTTTCGAAGTATTCTCCACGAAGATTAATACACATCTGCATGCACTCGAACCAATTTTCGA